AGAATTCAGAATCGAAATAAAACCCAGTCGTGAGGCCAGTATAAGCTAGGGATGATCTTTTCTCCGCAAAACTCAGCTAGGAGGCTTATTGCACAGCTCGTTCCATATGCGTGCTGTAACTGTGCTTTGGATGGATGTAATATAACTTGAAGAAATACTTGATAAACCTTCAACATAATTTCAGATTATGTGTTGCGAGGTGAAGTTTGAGTTTTTTTTCCATAGGACAAGAAAAGGTAAATGAATGAAATTAGAATGTCGCTTCCCAGTTGGTTCAAACAGACATACACCCTGGAGTAAAGGATTGGGAACAGATCTCTGCACTGAACACTGGAAGATTTTTTTTTTAGTCTTTGAAAATCTTTCGCTTCAAAACAGCACATCTTCAACATTAACAGATAAACGTAGAATTTTCTCTTTGAAAATTCAGCTTTGTCGGAGCAAACGATTAGATCACCCCTGATGAAGGCACTAGGCAGGACTGTCAAAACGTTGGGTCCATGATTTGTAACTTCTTGGTTACATTCATTAGATCTTTAAACCAGAGTAACATCAATCCATGTCTAACAAAGTGGTTGTTTCAGCGGGTTTACATTTCGCCGAAACTTATTTCTTCTTTACCTTCCCGCAAATGTGACCCTGTATGCAGATGCATGTTATACCTAGGTCAGTTAGCTCTAACTTTGCTTAGAAAACACAAGAAATAGATTGTACTGGAAATGGCGTAATTTTCATAATTTCGTCTTTTACTGAAATTTGGCAGCCCATCTCTACGTAAGATCCTACAGCAGTGTAACGTAAAATTATTCACTAAAGGAATACTGTTCATATAAAACAAGTTAGGAATTAGTATTGTTAAGAAATTAGTGTTAGTATTATTGTTACATAAACATTCAATATTGTGAGAGAAATCATATTCATATCGAAGGCTTTTCTTTAACCGGTAAAATAGACTCTTTAACTTTAGAAAATGGCCTATTGATGAAACAAGTAAGTAAACTCTTAAAATTCGTATGTACACACAGCAATGTCATCACCACACCATTGCCTTGATACACATGCATGTACTTCAAAACTAAGACTGAACGTATTAAGTTAATGCCCTGACGAAGGGCTAACGCTCGAAACGTCAGCTTTTTTTACTCTTTACGGTGGCCAATTTACGTTTTCAACCTAGTTGTTAACACTAAATTATCTGCTACACTCACCCACCGACGCAACTAGAAACTTACCCCCTGTATTAAGTTAATGATTGATGAAGGATGAGATGCCTTATCGTATCAGCCGACATGAGTGTTAAAAAGAAATAAAACAAACAAAAAACAAAGTGAAATTCTTAAACGATCTTCCACGCAGCAACTTTGGGTTTTTTGTATAACTTAATTCGTATGTTTGATAAGGCTAAGCTTATGGTGCGGGTTTGAGCCATCTGCTCTGCGGTATGATGTCATAAGAAAAGTTAAAGAAATCGGAAAATGTCTCAACAGGAATATTGAAATGCTTATTGAGAAAATGCCTGCGACCCCAGTCAATTTTTAAGGGTTCTGGGAAGAGTTTTAAGTATCAATTTGCAGAATGTCAGCGATATTCAAATCATGTCGTGTATAAAATACGCGCAATATTGTTATGCATCGTAAATCGTAGGATAAATTTAAAAAAAACATAACAATCTACATCCACTAAATACCGTTAAGAGCTTCCTTCCCGAAACTGAGCAATTTTTGTTTTGGTTGGTTAGTGGTGAAGTGATGCGGAAAGGAAGTTCAGATTGTAAAACGGGTAAAACTCATATGAGTACATAATCATAAATTACGCGAAAACACTTCTTCAAAGAACTTACCATCTAAACAGGCCAAAGCACTCTTTGAATAGAGAATCAGCAAGAAAAGGCTAAAGTGGACTAAGAAAATCATAAGGACGAGAAGAAGTTCACTTGTTCAGCTGAAATGGACTAAGGAAACCATAACGAAGTGAAGAACTTCACTTGTCCATCAGTAATAACCTGCCGACACAGAAAAAATTACGTGCGTCGGATTGGCTGAAAACGAGTGCATTTTTCATGTAACAAGAATGAAAATTACAAATCGCGCGCGCTGACAAAATTTCGTCTGTCTTTACTCTCTGGGATACTTGTTAATGTAAATTATTAACAAGTAACATGATCTCTCACGCAATTTGGCGTAAACAAGAAACTATTCCCTTTGCGTAAGTAAGCACTAGTAAATTTTTCAAGGACCAAAAATTACATTAGCCTGACGGGCTCTGACAATTTTATTGTCTTTGAAAAATTTACTCCTGCTTGTTAACATCAAAATTGCAGTCGCAATCATGTCATTACCCAAACTAATTGTGATGTCATACGTCACACAATCAACTGAATATTATTCAATAACAAATTTTGTAAAATAACAGAAATTGAATTTCCTTGATAAGCACGTTTTTATATTGGCGTTTTTTAACAGAATTGTCTCCCTACTTCAAACTTTTTTTCAGAAGTCAATTTTTTAACGTCCATTATAATTAAATAGTCAGTGACGTTTTCTTGTTTCGATCGATATTCCTCTCGGTAATATCAGTATTCAGCTAATGTTTCAGCCATAAATTTCCTGTCGCGTAGTAACAGCAGCTAACAATACTTCTTTAATATTTAAAAAAGGAAGTTCAAAAATGGCTACAGGATAAATGGTATAGTTTATTGCAGCAGGAGGTTTCGAACGAAAAATGAATTAAACGAATTGCAACATCATTTTTATCAACTAAGTAGATTGGCTACCTAAAAAGTTTCTAAACCTGAAGTTTTGAGTGTCAGCCCTTCATCAGAGCGAGGAGAGGAATTTTGGCTTGTATTTGGTTTAAATACAGAAAAAATGTAACCAGGCTGTTGATGGGAACGAAGTAATGTGAAAAACAAAAGAATGAACCAGTTGAATGTAAAGCCTTCGTCGCACTGACACAGTGGGGAGCAAGAAAGCCGATTTGGAAGATAACTTTTGTCATAAATTTGTTGAAATTGGTTACATTTCTCCTATTACGCCTGTGTCATTCATTGAATAATATCTTTCTTAACCTAACTCACCAGGCCTACTATCCTCGCAGTATGCAGCAATTTATCACAATGGACCTCGTTACACGGCTTTGTTTGACATAAGTCTTCTAAAGCTCAGTGGTGAGAGTCTGAAGTACTAATTTGAAGGTTGTGGGTTCCTACCTATTGCTAGTACACAGAGTTTCTTTTTATTTTCCCAAATATGCCTTTGTAATTTACTTAATAACATCTTCCTTCACGTAAATCACCAGGCTTGAAATCGATCTTCTTCCTTTAAATTATCATGGACATAAGCACCACATATTAACATTCCTACCACGCAGTATATTTGCAGGAAGTTTGTCTACACTCACCTAATTAAACGAGTCTCCTATAGCTCAGTATGTTTTTGTCTTTACTGAATAACATCTTCATTCACTCCAAAAATCCCCGGTTTCAAGTTTATCATCTTCATTAACATCATCGTTGTACGTGAGCATCACGTATCGATATTCCCATCTTTGAAGTAAGCGGGAAGTTTGAGATCATGGACCTAATTAAACGGCTTAGCTCGCCATAAGTCTCCTGTAGCCCTCTGTGGTAGAGCGGATGACTACTGACTGGAAGGTCGTAAGTTTGGCTAGCATTGGGAGCACTCGCAATTTTTTTTCTCCGAGCATTCTGTATCATTCACTGAACTACATATTCCTTCACTTCAATCGCCATATCAACAAATTGGCCACAATTTTTCATAGTCTGTAACCTTCTTGATCATCATTAGAAATGAAGGGAACAATGTCAACGCACTCGGAGTTCTTTGTTTTGTTTCTCCGACTATGCCTAAGTCACTCACTGAATAACATCTCCATGTAAACAAGTAACTGCTAAAAACTCGCTTATCTTGAATTGATTTTTGAACGAATGATTTCATCTTTGTAGAGGTGAGGTTTGGAAATTAGGCAATATCACTTAAGTTTGTGGAAATTCACTCAACAGGCATTGTCTCAAAAAAGGTATTCGTGAAGCTGTGAGAAAATCTATCGAGGATTTTCAAAGCTCTACTCCAAAAACTGTTTCACGGGATTTCCAGATAACGTTCGTATCATAACAGGGATTGCCATAAGACGCTTGCCATTTCAAACTTAAATCCATTGGTTAACAATTCAAATGTGTGAAACTGGTTCGACTGCGAAGAGGAAAGATTTTTTATTTTAGCGCTTTGAATATAGTCAGTAGGTGTCTCGGAAACCTATTTCAAGCTACCTTTATCGGTAAAATTGGGAGACGTTGAAAAGAAATGTTTCTAGTTTTCTCTTTTTTTAATGGTTTGTTTTTTTTTAACTGTTTTTTTTTAATTGTTTTACAAACTGATCTTTGCCTTAACATCGCACAGTAGGAAAGAAAATTCAAGACCACATATCCAGGTCAGTTTGTCAAATTATTTTTCACAGTATTTACATGGACTGAAACACGATTTCTTATTTAAGTTAGTTAATCCTGTCGTCTATATGATTAATCTAATTGTCTTTAAAGCCGAAATGTTATTGATTTCAAGCCTAACGCCGAAACAAGATACGAACAAAGAAATCTCGCATGAAAGGAGCAGTAAAAGTATTCATGGGGTCATTGTCACGGCAATATTTTCCACTTTTTAGTAAAGCTTTGTCATCACCCTTTCATCAAAGCTTACTTGGTTTGAGGGGCTTTTACCCACTAACTGCTAAGAGTGACCAAGACAGAATTTCTCCCTAAAATATCAATACTATATCTGAAAAGTAATGAGAATAAAGAAAAATGCTAATTAGGGGATCATCAGTTGATCCAATACCTTATTCTCCCAATTAACATCGTATGAATCGGATGGCAGACAGTAAAGGGAATTACTAATGAGATCTTGGGAGTGAAAGGTCTAAGAAGAATAGACTGGTAACATCATAGGGCACAAAGAAGAAGTGAAAGTTTCATCGGCGACGTCATCGATGATTGTCATTGATGCATCCTCGGTTCCTGGCGCCAAGCTTTTGTCTGGGTGTATTAAGATGGCCAACCTCCTAAAGGCTCGGTTAATTTCCTTCTAGACCTAAGTGTTCTGTCTACCAGTCTCAGCGAACGATTTGGAGAATGTCAGAGACAACAGTTAAAAAGCAATAGCACGAGTTGTTGACGAAGACGAAGAAAACAAACTGACAAGAAAAGTTTACAAGTTTATGAAAATAGCTGTTGATCAGTCGACCACTGCATGAACGTTACAAGTCTGCAGACTTAGCCAATTCATTTTGCTGTTTATTTCATGACAAAAATAGATTTCATTTTATTGCTTCTTCGGTTACAAAAATATGCGATATCGTATGTTGTTCCTCATTTTTACTTAAGGTGATAATAAAACCAGGGCAATCATTTGAGACTGATTGTTGTTACTCATCGTACATGGTCGCTCCGGCTGTCAGCCCCAGTCTCTCGTAGTTATCTTTCGCTGATTTCAACCTGTGAGTAGCCTCTGCCTGTTCTTTGGTGTAACCCAGAGTTGTAGAGGCATTGACCTGGACTGGTTTACCACCATTTTCTATTGTTGCCAATACTGATTGAAATAGTTTCTGTAACAGTGACAGTTATTGTTAGTGTTATTAATTATTCAACATTCATGAAAGTTCCAGGAGCTTATATAGTTATAAAAAGAGTTATTACAGAGCAAGTGAATGTAAAAATGAAAAAAGGTGACTTCAATTGTTGAGTCTGCCACTTGATGCATATGCATTTTATGTTGAAACATTGGACCATAGTTCAGCTCACATACTCTTGAACGGCGACGGACCTTCTTCTTTTGAATGAAATGAAAGCCTCGTCTGTCCTACGATATCCATTGGACGATCGTTATCTATAAGTTGAGACAAATAAGCTATCTTTTTTAGTAGGTAATTTATGTTTAGCTTACTCAATTTATTTATAAAAGCAACACCAAAGCCATAAATTGAAGTGAGGTCTGTCACGGGCAAAATATGCGCAGGAAGCCTGAAGGGCGGTCAGATTTGATACCTGGCCAATAAGCTTAAATAAACATCGTCCATTTAGAATTGTCGATCCTTTTTCGGTTTACAAATAATGCAAGCTAAAACGGGAAAGTGTTTGTCGGATAGCACATTTGCTATCCTTCCCACTGATATATATTTTATGGTGGTTATGCTTCAAATGGCGCAATTTTTGGTTTTTTTTCTATGCGAACGACACCTGCGAAGGTCTACCGTATTCTTAAAGAAATTCAGATCCGATAGACAAACAGATTCTTGATATCCTACCTCTTCGGATATAAAACCATAAAAGGGCTGAAAGGAAATTCCGTGGTCTTGCCTCCTTAGTGCGGTTATTTAATTCACATATTTTGTATTACATATTTATATCTCTGTCGTAGTTATAGCTTTGGCACGTGATGTCTTGTTCACATTTGACATCGCAAAGGTGAAGAGCCGCCAATAACTATCTTTTGAAGACGGAAAGCTTGAGAGACATACCTTGAATGCTTACTTCTGTCCTGCATTGATCATTAATTGTGACAAGCTCCATCAGAAACGCGAAGAAGAGAATTTTTACAAGGCGAAATGTTCACAACACACTTCTCCGCTGTTCATGAATCTACAGTTAACATTCATAGAAAACCAACCGAGTTTAGACGCTGCCGTCCATCCACACTTTTTTGTTAAATAAACAACACAAGGCGTTTTTCCCTCTTTAATCAAATATTTTGTGAGGTTATCACAGGGGGGGGAAAGCAGACCCGAGTAGTGAACCTCGACACAATAGTGAATAATCCTCCCTCCCCTTTTCAAAGGTAATTTATCGATTGAAGGAATTCCTTGTCCGACTGTTAAAATTTCAAAATTTTACATGGGTCCGAAACAGAAGTAACGTTTTTAAGTTTTTAAGCCTGCGTCTAATCTAAGATAACCTATCGTTTGATAGAAAGAGATCGTTAACAAAATATCTTTTCACCCTCGATAAACGTCAAACCCTCTTTTGCACTTTCTCTCCATACATCACCTATCCGTATTCTATAACACTCAGGCGTCTTAATGGCTGCTCTATGTAAAACAGCTTCACTAACGTCACTTCCATTTGAACAGCAGGTGCCCGATAAATTTGTAGCAAGCTAATTGAAAGCTCAATCCACCTCATTCTATTTTCTCTTTTAAAGCAACCGATGAAAACATGAAGTTATCAGCCGTAACAGTTTGTTTCACTTGTTTACAGTCTTCACAGAACCTTTCTATTCAATTTTACACTGAATTTTCCTTAGACCTCGATCGAGTAAGTCTTCCAGAAAATACTGATAATGGCTGGCGTCACACACGTAATGCAAATGATTTGAAGGGAACTTGAGAGCAGAATGAAATTCAAGTTTAAGGTCAGGACACGCAAACTCAGAAAAATGCGTTGGAAATCCACACACACAAAATTAAAAAAATTCATATCTACACACTTCTTAGCGTGAATGTATTCTTGAAACGTGCTTGGATTCTTTTCATTTTAATTTATCATACAAGCTGTACATGATAACCTCTTTTCTAAAAACACGTTAAATCAAGGTGCAAACATGGTGTGCAAATTACAAGCTCGTTTCGAATCTAATACATTTCTTTTTTTTTTTCTTGTTTTTTTTCTTCATCACAGTTGATTCTCTCATACTCATTAATTAAAAAAAGAGATGTTTTCTATCTGTATGGTGATGTTATTCAAACTATTATGCTTGATGAAAAATTCACCGGCTTACGCAATTTAGTTGTTTATTTATATGGTTTATACACATTTTAGGCAAAATAAACAGCAAATGGAGATCCTGCTAATTTCTTATTCCTACCATATAACACGCCAGATACTTTGTGAAAGATAAAATACGTGACGTATAGCAGATGCTGGTAATGACCATATTTTGAGCACAAAACGTGAATTATAATAAGGGCTCGCTTCCACCTTTCCCAGGTTATGACATGCGAATAGGTAAAAGTACCGCAATTGGAAAAAAAGTGTCATTGCCGGTTCAATGTACGAAATCAAAGAAGAATTGAGTGTTCCTAACTGCTAGTCCTTTAGTATACTTTGTTTGCACTGTAATAACACATTCCTCCCTGTCCACTTAGTGAGGACTTTAGTGAAAAGTTAAAAAAATTACTCTATAAATTACAATAAAATGAGGTTTTCACGCGCTTAGTATTGATAAATAAAATTTTAATCGCTTTTCCCTTGGATATAGAGGCAGGCTATTCCCTCTGCAGTTGCGAGAGTCACACAATATCAACAGACTCAACCGAGTTTTGATTTAGTTAAATACAGCTTTTAATTTAAAAAGTTTTTGGCCATATTGTTAGGTCTTTGTTAAACATGAAGTCCTTTACTAGGTGACAGCTTCTAGACGAGTGTTTTTCTTTTACTCGTCAGGAGTCCATTTTACTCGTCAGGAGTTTGGGGTCCTTAAAGTTGTTATTGATATAAATTGCCAATTTTATTACAAACATGGCTTGAGATTGTTAACATGCATTATATCTTGTTCAAGTAGAACAGCACAATAAATCTTAATGGGGAAATCGTAACTACAAAGACCGAATTATGATTAATCAAAACAAATAAGAGGGAAATAGAGCGCCACGTTCATTGTTTCATAAGCTTATTATCACAATAGTGAGCATTGCGCAGCGTTCATGACCACCTCTAAGCTACTTTTTGCCAGTTATAACACATCTAATAACCTTGTTGAGCTAGGAGCAAATATCCTGAGAATAATTGGCATTTGGTTAATGTAAAACCCATAAAGAAATTAACAAAAACAGCAAAATTTTCCGGGAAAAGACGAAAACTCCACCTCTACTGTCATAAGAGTGGGAGGTAACTACCACATAATTGCTCTCCCGAGAAAGTATCTCGTGAATATTTCTAATTGTTATCTGACTTTGTTCAACGTGTAAATATTAAGATTCCAAAATGATTATGTGACGTGGTGAGGTTTTACGCCTCTAAAATAAATTACAATACCCTGCCAATTATTCCATAAAATTTTTTTTTAAAGTTGTTCTCCACCCCTGTTAAAATATTTTTGGATTTCTTAGTTTTGATTAGACATAAAAACTTAATTAAAAGTTCAAACCACAGGTCTCACTTTAAGGCGTGCATTAACAACAAAGTAGAGAATCTTCAATTACAACTCTAATGCCCGCTAAACATAATCAAAAGTCTGTGCATAAGTCGAGCCTGAGTGGCCCATAACCTTGGAGTTCATTCTGGTTACGGCAATTACAGCACGTATACCCTTGCATATCACACCTCTACACCCTTTTCCTGGACGGAATGTTAATCCATTGTTACTTACCGCCCAGCATTTTGCCTTTTCAGTGGGCAGAGACAGCGTGAGGTTTAGTTACCTGGCTTAGAAACAGAAATAGACTTGCTATTGTAATTCCAGCTCTAAGGGAGATAGAATACTTCTACCTCGTCGGGAGTAAAATGGTGAGTTCCAGCCAACACTGTAATTTTTTCCTTTACTTCACTAGGAGCCAAGAAAGAGTGACCAAAGTTGGTGTACGAATGAGCATTATGACCTGCGTTGTTAGCAATGCAAATATCGTGGCCTCCACCAAATGTTGGACCACGACTTATCTCCATATAAATGGCTTGGGAGTCATGATTCACCATACTCTTAAACGGCGCTAGTCCTTCTTTGTTTTTGAGCGAAAAAATAAAAGCCTTGTCTGTCGTGTGATATCCTTTGTACGGATCATCATCTACAGGTCAACACAATAAGCTAAAATTGAAACCTTTTATAGGAATTTTTTACCAGTTTACATTTTTCCTCTATTAAAGCTGGTAACATTTGGCCGGAGTTGAAAGAAATCATCCTATGACTTAATTGTTCAATATTTTTGTCATGAAGTTATTGAGACTGAAAAAAGGTGAGAGAAAAAATATAATATATTTAAACATATATACATATATACATAATACATTCTCAAGAATAACTTTTTCCTCACCGCAATAAGCCCAATGACGACTGTAGACAGCATCGAATGAGCACCACCGTTTGAAAAGTTTTCCCAATATACATTGATTGTAGGTATGGCCTTTATACTTGAAAGGAAATATACAACAGCGACCTGACTGGTCTTCTGTTCTTGCTCCGGGAGAACAACCTGCCAAGAAAAATTTTGAATCAGTTAATCATGTATGGCTTTTTTTCTTTGGACGAACAGTTATTTAAACGATTTAACGGTATAATTTCCTCGCACTAATGTTTGAAAATGAGGTCATGATACCTGTTTTGAATCCCATATTTACACACCAAGGCATCAGAGAAGTGCTCTTTTCGGACGGTTCGCGTGAGTCCTTTTCGTGAATTCTATCTATAATACTGGTCATAGTCATTATGTCCAAACTGTCTGTAAGGTTTACGTCACATGTCCAACTGAAGTGAACTGGTAGGTACTGATTGACAATACGTCTTAGACATGTACGATACCATTATAAATTCTGGTTTTTACTCATCATGTTGTCTCCCTGGTCTTTATTTATGTTATTTGACATTGGAACTTTGAATCTTGTTTTCCGAAAATGAGAGGGCATGTTTACTAACACTTGTTCGCATAATGAAGATACTAAACAAGTTGGAAATCCTTTCAGCTATTGCAAAGATAAACTTGCTTGATTGTATATTTGGCAGATGTGACATCAAAAGCCAGACTTAGCTTTAAAACTCTTTACGGTGGCTAATTTACGTAATCAACTCAGTTGATAATACTAAATTACCCTGTTATACTACAAAGTGGAAACCGTTTCTTACCCCATGGAATATCAGTGTACCCTCCAAAAACATACTGGTCTGTCTGAATAAACGTTACAATATTTCCCTTTCCATCGCAACGGGTGTGGAACTCCTCACCAGCCCATCCATGTAAGGAGGCGCGGTAGCATAGCAGCCAACCAGTATTATTTCCAACGGCAGGGACCAGGAACCCACGAAGATAAGCGAAATAAGATTCATTTTTCGACAATATATTTGAGCCGTTTATGTATCCTGCAACAATCGAAATGAAAAGCACGGATGTATTTCTCTACATGTTCCTAGACACAGAAAAGGATTCGGTAGTTGATCTTCACTTACGTTACTCTCCAACACCTATGTTCTCAGTAAAATGCCTCCCTATTCTTATATACTCAGTTTACTCTGGAACTGAACACAACCAAGTAGCAAAACAAAAAATGAAGAAGCACAACATTTTTATCGTGTATGACCTTGTGCTGAAGAGTTGTGCATGAAAGGTTCAAATGTTAAGATCTCTTCTATGCGTTTTATGAGCAGTTTTGGACTTTTCGCTTATTGCTTATATTTGCTTATTGTCATCTTTTGTATAATTTACAGATTGCAAAATGTGTCACTAATCAGAGTAACATTGGTTCATGATTGCTATATGCCATCATCATCTTGACAAACCTTCACAATTGTGTCCGTCTCCGATGAACCCGGGTTTACAACTGCATCTAAATGATCCTGGCGTATTTTTACAAACCCCACTGGTCATACTACAGCTGTGAGTATTCTGAGCACACTCGTCAATATCTGATAGAAAATAAACCAGGTATATTACTATGTTTCTTTACTTTAAGGAATGTAAAGGTTAAATTACCAGATCCGTCCCCTCACAATAGGGGATCTGCCTGGGGATCTACAGCACAGATTTTATTTGCATAGTACTTTAGTTATGTAAACAATTAAACATAAAAGCTAGAATTCGTGATCATCTTTTCACTACTTCAGTGTGAAGCACCCCCATTTTAACGGTCGATCAAAGAGTAGCCTTCCTATTTCAAGTTTTTTTCACTGCACCCAATTGCACAAATGCAACTGTGTTTGTTCATATCGTCAATGCACGTCCCTTTTTTCAAACAAGGCTTGTTGGCACAGTTGTCGATATCCATACCAAATCATATTTAGCAAATATTTCCGGTTGTCTTAAAATCATTACACAAATTAGTTGTAGAATAAGATATTACTTATACTTTATTAGTAAAATGTCATCAATTTCTAAAAATATGAATAAAGAAACCATGTCTCTAGGTATAGAATAGAATTTCTTGCTTTTTAGCTCAATAAATTGTCCAAAGCCCATTTATAAAACGGTTTTTCCGCGATTAAAAAACTTGGGTGAAACAACTTATTTCTCTAATTACACAAAATTAATGATTGTGGATTAAAGAGTCCAAGTGTCAGTGCCTTGCAGTTATCTCCTGTAAACCCCAATCGCCATCATAGCACCTCTTGAAAATGTTTGCAGGAACAATACTTAGTGCCTACAATATTAAATTTCAAGTGAAAATAAAGCATTTCCTATTCAACCTGTTTCACAGTAAGTACCAGTGAATCCATGTAGACATTTGCATCTGTATCCATCACCTTCGTTGGTGCAGGCCCCTCCATTATGACATGGAGTTTGCGCACAGTCCAAAATTTCTGATACAGAAAAAATTGATAACGTGCCTTAATTGAGCTCGGGAAAACTTATAACATGGGATGCCTTATCTTTGGTCGTACTCCGGGAAGATTTGCCGCTAACAAAAACAACTGTTGAATCATAAGTCGTTTTTCATGTTCATAACTGTGAGAGTTACAAGGATTGGAAAAAAATATCGAGGCCTTCAGAGTCTCTTTCACATCCTCCCTTGTGTCTTTCTTAGTAAAGCCGAGTCGTATATCACAAAGCGCCTCTCGTCGATGTGCCAATAAGAAAAAGAAAGGTTTAATGTGGGGAGAAATCAGAGGTATTTTCAAAGTGATACAGCTAACTGGCCTCAAGCGCAGGAAAGCCTCTGTTACCTATCACTCCCAGAAGGCAATCCATGGGTGGAAAATTCGCGATATAATGTTCAGCGTTGGTAAATATGCTGTGTGGTGGGGGTCACTATCGATATATTTGACATGTTTGCTCGTAATCTAAAGAACTAAGGCAGTAAAGAAGTGCTAATTAATTTTTTAATAGTTTGGCCGCTCACTTGCCCCAGATCTGCCGCAATTTTTGAACACGATGTAAAGTAAGGAGTCATGAAACAGATAAGTTTCTAACCTGCACAATTTTGACCATTTCCCACATAACCAGCCTTGCATTTACAGAAAAATGATCCCTCAGTATTATGGCATTCGGCATTAACATCACATCCGTAAGTTTTCTTTTTACACTCGTCAATATCTAGAAAGAAAGAATTAATACAAAATGCACATTTTTTGCGACAAAGAGATTGAAACTAGGGTAATCACAAAAGTCTTCAGAGTTAGATAAAATTAAGCCATGGGTATGTTATACACTGAAACATTCACTTAACATCGATTAAACTGTCTTGTTCCAGAATACGAATCGCTCATAATTTTTGCTACAGATAAAAAACTGATATCACCGTCTCACCTTGTTCACAATGAGCTCCCGTAAATCCAACAGAACATAAGCATCGATATCCCTTGTTTGTAAAACCAGACTGACAAATGGCGTTGTTATTGCAGTGAGCACGACCACAAGCATTCTGAAAAATATTAATAAATAGAGAATAATACATGGGCGTGCGTAAATATGGAATTTTTCTTCGTGTTTAACCCGATAGCGCACGAGTGAGGGCAGCGAACGAGTGAGATGTCGAGTTGAACACGAGAAGAGAAATTCCATATATCCACAAGCAACCATGTATTATTTTGTTTATCATATAAACACAATAGTCCTTTATTGATTCAAATTGCAATCAATATGCATACAGCTTTTTTCCGTGTTCAGCCAACCAATGGAATGATCGAAGACTTCCAGGTGACATTGTAAATATAGATGATAATTTAAAATTTGAGGCCGCTCTGCGCGACCATCTTATCGAAACTGAGAAATGGTTTTAAAAAATTCCTATTATCACATATATATATATTTTTTAACTAGTGTTTATTTATTGTTTATTTATTTATTATTTTATTATATTTATATTGACGTGATGCGTTGGTACACTTTATCATTTAATAAAGTAGAAGAAGGGATGACAAGAAAAGCCGACTCCATTAATGAATGAAAATGAATAAATCGACAATCCCCAAATAACAATCGTAGAGTGCGTTGGCGCTAACTCTTAAGATGGAAAAATGCTTCGAATCATGATTAAAAAACAACAATGGTCGTAATTTTTAATTTACAAAATCCTCATTTATTGAGTTTGTCCTTACCGACAGAAGAAGTCTTTCAGGTAAACGGCCAAAATCGTCCAGCGGCAAATTTTCCAGCTGTCGATTTTCATTCTCAGCCGAAAGAAATGCTAACACCAAAGCCCCTGAATGAGTAACTTTTGGTTTTTCTTTTAGTATATTGGTTTTCTTCCCCTTCTAAGAAAGTTTGAACCTCAATGTCTGTCAGCGATACGGATATTTTAATGTTTTAGCCGCCATAATTCGAGAAAGCTCCAACAAACAGCTTGTATTAAGAATCGTGAAGGCTTTGCCGTTCATTCATCAACCAAACCGAGTGGCGCCAAAGGAGAGTGACCTACAGCGGCTGATTGGCTCTATCAACACACGTGAAAAAATACGAAAAACCCATAAAAAAACGTAAAATTTTCCCTTAGAACTTAGAACTTAGAACATATTAAATCGATTGCTTAGAGACATTGTCTCCTTACTTTTGTTCCATGGTACACATAGTTCGTCGCCTTCACCAGATCTTTATCGTGTTCTTTACTCGTTGAGTTATTCAGTTCACAGTTGTGTGCTTCTGCTCCGTTTTCTCCAAAATAAAAGTTAACACTGACACAGTTGTGGTCCACGTAGCAACGATATTCACACGTGTCCCTGTCAATCACACTGATGTTTGCTATGGTGTGGTTAACAAGACGTTCTCCCACGAAGAACAAAGTGGAGGGAAATGCCAGTATACGGCATTGATCTAAAATAGATGAAACTTTTGAAACTACAACATCTGAGGAGGATTGTGGATGTTCTTGATTTTCCTGAAACACTTTTTAATATGAACGTTTGAGTATATGTTTCCAGGCTCTTTCAGATCATGAAATAAGAAATGCTGTTTAAAATAGGCGATATGATCCATGTTATTCAAACTAAGGCAATGCAAAAACGTGTTGGTATTGTTATTAACATCATTTTTCGTTTTAATATGAATTGAAGGGCGATACACCTTCATGGTGTTTTGGCAATTCTGTCATGCTGCCAAAAAATTTGGACAATATGTTAATTTTACAAATAATGAATACTCAAAAAGCCGGTATAACGTTTAAACGCGGTTATCACCCCTAGTTAGAGTTATTCTGACACTGAAATAAAATAACAGGAATTGAACTAAAATATAATAGACTAAGGATTGATGAATAAAAAGAATTCAGAATAGAAATAAAGCCCAAACGTGAGGCCAGTATAAGCTAAGGATGATCTCTTTTCCTCAAAACTCGGTTAGGAGGCTCATTGCACAGCTCGTTGCATATGCGTGCTATAACTGTGCTAGACTGGATCTAATCTAACTTGGAAAAATACTTGATAAACCGTCAACATAATTTCAGGTAATGTGTTGCGAGGTAAAGTTTGGGTTTTTTTGTCATAGGACAAGAAAAGGTAAATAAAATAAATTAGAATATCGCCTCCAAATTGATCCAAACTTGCGACATACTCCCTTAAGTACAGGATTGGGAACGGATTTCTGCTCTGAAAACCAGAAGATTTCTTTTTTAAGTCTTTAAAAATCCCTCGCTTCAAAACAACAAAGATCTTCAACATTAAAAGATAAACATAGAGAAGAAAATAAAAAAGTAAAATATGCATGAGTAACAATTGGAATAGGAGAACAAATAAATAGTATAAAATGACAACTCGTTGTGAGAGCTACGTAAAGGCAACGTGATATATACTTACCAACCAAACAAGATATAACATTCTTAATCAGCAAGAAAAAAACAAAGTGGAGGAGAAAACCCATTTGCGTGAAATCTTGCTTTCTAAACATGTGGGGAAGCTTAGGGGAAATTGTTGCAAATTTGAGGAACTTCAAATCTTAATTAGCACCAATAAGTTGACTCGCACGTACTCAATTAATGGGTATGACTGGTTTGAAGGTGAACGTCATACGCATCAGTTTTCAGCCAATAGGACTGTTGTTGATAAGCTGCTATTTAATTATGCCCCATTGGAAAGTTGTTTTATCTGCAGTTCCAACAAAGTAGTCTTTTGTGCGGGTTTACATTCGCGGAAAATTATCTTCTTTATCTTCCCGCTAATGTGACCCTGTAGGCAGATGCAAATTATATCAAGGTCAGATATGGTGCTAAGGTAATAAAAACATTCCATTTTTCTAACGGTTATTACAGTATAATATTTGTAATTCCTAGCGCAACTTCTCGAATTTTGCGGCACACAACGCGGAAGAGGAGAAAAAAAGAGGTTCAGTGAACCCTTGTGGCTGCATTGAGAGAGCGTCAAGTAAATCATTTCACAAATGTTGACATAACGGCCTCTCTGAGAAATGAAAATATATGTGCATTAAACGTTGGCCTTTCTTACACGCAGCTGTCCTCAGATGGAACAATTTGAACTGATAATGGCCTCAGCTCGCAACTAAATGTCAATGCCTCAAATTTCAGTGACCTTTTGTGGCTATCTGCCTAAAATGAAACATTTTGTCGCCGCGAATTTGTAATTTGTTGATTTCTTTCACATTTAAGTCTTATACTTTTCGCACCAATTAATTTACGCTTATTCTTTTCGTTTTTTCACCTATCATTTATGCGTCATTATTTCATCACTTTAGGCGGCACTAAAGTACCCCGCCTTATATAATTCATGTTTCACGTCCATTCTGGCATTGTGTGTTTTTATTTTTGCCTCTATGTAAACCTCTTCCCTGCGAATGTTTCGTGTCTCGTATATTTCCTCAGCATTTGATAAGTTTGGTCTCATCGTATCTTTATATTTATTTTTCCAGTCTTATTTGCAAGTAGATTTTTTGTTAAAGTCGTTTTACGCTTTTTACGAATTTACTTCTTCTTCACCTGCACATTAAAAGAGTAGTAAATAGAGTGCTGAATAAATCAAAATGTGTTAATTGAAGCAGGCCCTTGCCTCTTCACACTAAGTATCAGAATATTTCTATTGTCTATTAATAAGCTTATTGCATGTTATTAATCTACGTCTCAGTCTTCGGAATTGAATAATTAAAGGTATGGAATGAAGAAACACACAACAACAAGAGAACCTAATTCTCTTAACAGGGGCTGGTAACTCTATGCAGTATAGGTTCTATTTCTTAAGTTCCCTTCCGTGGGACTGCTTACTATCCCGACAAGCTCCTAATCTTACGCCCTCTGAGTTACCAATCGTCAGGCCTTAAGGGGTAGCAATAATTTCAAAGGGTGAAATCATTAAGAAAGGTTTGACTCAATATAACCAGGTTCACAGGAAAATATAGGAGGCTTTTTAACACGGGAAGGATGATCATATGACTCTCTTGTGAAAGAAGGAAGCATTAAGGAGCATTTTATTCCCTCCCTGAAGTTTATTTAATTCAAACAACTAAAAATTTACAGATTAAAGTAAGGACGTTGATGACTAACGCAACTCAGCGATGCGATTGGTTGAGCCAGAAATGACGGTCATAACTCTTTCCTCTGAGCGAGGCGGTTCTTAAGTTAAGTTGACAAAGTTGCTGATGCCTGTACGAGTTCGTTAGGTTTCTTGCTGTTCAATAAAGAAAAATCAACTTCATCTACAGCCAACTGTGTCCTTTTGGTTAAATATGTATTTTTTTGCTGAAGTTTCGTGCTCTAAATAAACGTCAAGAGAAACATTTGGCTCAAACTTTGCTTAGAAAACATCAGAAATAAACTGGAAAGAGCGTCATTTACATAATTTCGTCTTTCACTGAAACTTGGCAGCCCATATCTACGTAAGATCCTACAGCAGTGTAACGTAAAATTATTCACTAAAGGAGCACTGTTAATTTAAAGCAGGTTAGGAATCAGTGTTGTTAAGAAATTAGTGTTAGTATTATAGTTACAGAAACATTCAATATTATGAAAGAAATCATTTTCATATTGAAAACTTTCCCTTAACCTGGAAAAATAGACGCTTTCTGCATCTCGAAAATGGCCTATTGATGAAACAAGCAAGTAAACTTTTAAAATTCGTATGTACACACTGTAGGAAACTAACGAAAAATAATTATTCATGATTTTAAAGGTTCTAGTTGATTTATTCACAATTTAGCCTGTATAACTGCCCTTGCCTCGTATTGCTTGCGAAAGGCGTTTGGTGTTCTGGTGTTTATCATAATAATCATATTAGTCACACTGCACGATAACAATTAACTATAAGTTTACGATCTTATCTTTTTTCCAGCTAATAAGTATGCCGGTAAACACGTGATAGTCAAAGAATGTGGCCCTCCAAAATAAAATTGAATTTGAGGGAGGGGTTCTAATACTCATTTTAACACTACTTCTATAATTTGCGTCAAAATGTACACCTCCGCAAAGATTTCAAACCACTGTTAGGGATATCCATTTATCAAAAAAATTTATAGTAGTAGTAGTACTGAAAGTGCTAATTAGCTACATCACAGTATTCAAATGATAAAAACCATTTTGAAGGTGGTTTGGAACCTTCTAAGAGCCTTGATTTACATTTTTATTTCTGTGGGGGGGAGGAGGGGTGGGGTAGACCAACCTGAAAAGCCTTTGCTTATCAAAGGTTCCTTTGAGTTTTCAGATTATTTGAATGACTATAATTTTAATTCTGGATAAGTTGGAGAAAGGAGAACTTTTAAGATCTCCTGGTCATGAATGCCGTTTTTACTTTTTAAACATTTAAATTGTGAAGGTAGGTTTTAGTATTCTCTCTCTAAGAGAACGTTTCACTTCTTTTGGATTTAGTCAGTGCTGCAGTAACGGAGGTAGCAAAAGGGTGTGCCGCGTAGGTAATAAACATAATAGGCGCCGCAGTTTCTCACTTTGATGGACCTTGATAACAAACAACAGTCTGAATACGAGCGAAAGCAGACCGACCTCCTGACCTGTCCGTCAGCCACTGTGGGATGTCCTCCATTCATCCACCCGGTTCCAATACTGCCACAACTCCAAAAAGGCGGACATGAAATAGCCATTCTTGTGCCTGCTGCCCCACTAAAACGATACCAACCGTAAAGTCTCCAGTCACAGTACCAGTCATAACCAGATGTTATCTTCCTGTTACCGTAGGTCAGATTCCTATAGTTTTGACACTCTGTGTCAGAGACAAGCAAAGGCAAGTGAAACCAAGCTCATTCTAGCCAATATAGTTTTATCCAAAATTCTTTCAATCTCAAAGGTACATTCAAGGAGGTAATAGTTTCTAAAAACAGTCATAACAGTGGGCGGACTGGCTATCAGACAAAAGGAACTAACCTGATGCCAGGTTGCAAGTTTTTCCATCTTCTGCCGTAAGACTGTTACAGGAACATTTGTAGGATCCAATAGTGTTGATACACGAGGCTGAACTGTGGCAAGAGTGTACATCGCTGGAACATTCATCAACATCTGAGGAATGTTAAAACAAAAATGTGCAGACGTTAGTCTTGCCGCCGGTATCAGTTTGAATAACAGCAACAAGCACTGAACCTCAACTGTGGTTTAAACCCAGGTGCAGCATTAGCTGGACGATGTATATTTAACAAATAGAGAAGCCTGTGCTCTGTTCTGTTATAAAGCACGCAGGAAGCGGCTAGAGCACGAAAGAAGTGTAGGGAGAAACACGAGACGTAGTCGAGTGTTTCTCCCCACTTCTTGAGTGCTCTAGCCGCTTCCTAAGTGCTTTATAACAGAACAGAGCACAGTCAAGGCTTCTCTATTTGTTTTATAATAAAGAATCCGTTAAATTCTCGAAGCATTACTTTCAATTTTCAAAACAAACTTTTTTTCCAAAGCGAACAACAGTGTCGTCAGCATGCTCTATACTCTCATAAAGCACGCCACAATAAGCCGATCCAAATCCCTGCTAGAATGGTTCAAATAATCTGATTGGCTGTACAAGACTAAAGCTGTCAAAAGTGCCAAACCATTAAAGTTCAAAAACCATCAAAGTTCACATTCTGCGATAGTTTACAAACTAAAATAGTTCGGCAAGTCGAATTTAACACTTTTGCCTGAAGTTTTTAAGTCTCTAATACAGAATCTTGAAGTGAAATGTTCAGTGAAATTCAACCGAATTATGGCTCATAAAAACACGCGAGGTTTTTCACATGACAAGGTAGAAAACAAACTGTTCAAGGCGAGTGTTTTTTGAATGAACGACAGCCGAATTCACCAGAACAGGAAGATCGCTCGGGATGACAGCGCCGCAAAACTCGGCTGCAGTGACTGATGTGACTTTCCACTCAATGCATCGGAAAGGATATCAGAGCAAGCTCTTATTTTTTCACTCAAAGTGCGGCCGATGTAGTAGCATGATCATATTCGCTCAGACACCGTCATGATTAGTATGAATTTTAACAGTTATGCCAGTTTGGTTATATTTTCATCATTTCTGTTTTGTTCTGTTTTGTTTTTGACCACTAAACTTTATATACTATACGAGTGTTAGCTGTGTTTGATTTTTATTACCGAACGTAAGCTTGCAATCTCACTGAGCGTGAAAATCTTTAAAACTCGGAATGTCTATTTTATTTTTCCTTTGAGGATTTTCGTATCTGCTCACGTTTTAATAACGTAAATCACGGCGCCTAGTATGTTTATAAACGTTTGTTTGGTTCCTCTGTTGCTACTTGCCGGCTCACTTGTTCCGAAATTTCACTTTCAATTATTGGAAAAAAGCTAAAAAGAAGTCCCGGAAAAGGGCGAGCATAGTACAATTTGGCAGATGGCGTGACAGCTTCAGCTCAGCGCTATGCTCTATACTCTCATAGAGCACGCTCTTTCAGCCAATGACAACGCGCGTTATATCCGAACTTTATTATAAAAATGGATATATATATATATAAAAGAGCAGGTGTGTGTGTGTGTATATTTGATACATGTTTTCAAATTGAAACGTTTTTGAAATTGGGCGTATATATATACGTATATTATATGTATTTATTTCTTTCTTCATTCGTAAAACTACGGGTGCCCTGATTGCTCTAAAGCCTGTCGTTTATTTTAGCAATCTAGAAGATCGCGCTTACAAATTTACAAATTTTTTCTTGTGTTCTCCCGACACCCTGCGTGGGTTGCTACACCGGTAAACCGATAGAAAGTGCGGTCGAGCGCTTCAATAAAACGAGAACAGGGTGTAAATGGGTTACCATCAGTGTTAATCTGTGCTTGTCTCTCTGAAACTCGTAAATCTAGCTTGTGGCTCAGTACTGGGATAACAGACCGCAAAATTCTAAGGTTTGGGATTCTAGTCAAGGTAATATTTGACTCTAGAGAGGTATATAAAAAAATACCTTTCCAGCTACATACTATCGAGTGCACCTTACTACGAAACAATTTGCTTGTCACTCATTCCACAGTGGGCTAAATGTCGATAATTCGTCCGATATTCTCCTTTTCATTTCTAACTAGCCAAAAAAAAAACATCCCTTGATAATTTCGATTATCTATTCATTCACCAAAACGTATCCGATGGTTGTTTTCTGAGAATGAGCCACTCTACATTACGTAATATCCTACAAGCCATGATAAACAAATCCAAGTTTCTCACTCATTGATACGTTTTATAATAACAAACGTGCCTTCTTTGCAATTTTCTCCGGAGTATCCAGGAAGGCATTCGCATTTACCACCAACACAGATGCTGTTATTCTGACATGGATTGCTGTCACACTGATCGGCTATAACTAACAAAAAGCAGCACTGTTAAGGGCTGAAAAAGGCTATCTTATCAAAAGTTTGCCTCAAATGTGTATAAGGCACTCGACTTACATTAAATGAAAATCCGGTCACCGGTCAATTCTAATACCTTTACTCGTCGTATCTCGCCTTCGAACCACTGCATATGCGTATAAACTTCTCTTTCTGTTCAATGCAAAAATCTTCTGAATTATGTTAAGTCTGTTTTTCTTTTCCTTTTTTGCTTCCAGCAGAAACTATGTTCAAACAGAAGGCTACAACACGCACTTGAAATGGTCGTGTTTTTCTCTATTTATTTATTTTATTGTTAAGTACGAGGGTGACTTAAGTATCATCACCATCAATGCCAAACACACTGTCATAAAGTTAATTTTGATATTATTGCTTGTTATGCGTTTTCATTTCGTTTAGTTATTTTTGTTTGCTTTCAGTTTTGCAAACGTTTGTAAAGTAATCATAGCTTTCAATGTAGTCTTTATTAAAAGGAAATCGTCTGTAGTATATTGAACGGAGACCAGTAAAAATAAGGATAATTGATTGACATCTACTTATACATTGAACGCCATTTATATACCTCATACTTCTGGAAAAAATAACCAAATAATTATCTTTGTCTTCATAGAGGCGTTTTAAGATACGATTTCAGAGTAAAAATACATCTGATGATAATAAGATGTCACTAACCTATTTCGCAAAGTTCTCCGGAAAATCCAGGCTGACATTGGCATTTACCGTCCTTACAGGATCCTTGGTTCTGACATGGATTGCTGTTACACTTACCTACCTCTAAAGAAAAATAAACAACCCAAGTCCTTAAAGACCATTACATTTCTGCTACTCTTGTAGCAGTCAATTATTCGATGAAAGCTATGGAAAAAAGGGAAATGCAGTAGTTTTGCGATTTACCAGTGGAAAGAGATGAAATTTCACCTAGCCGCATAAAATCCCAACAATGAATTGCGAGTTCGTTTGAAAATGTGAGGATAATTGGTTGACATCTACTTAAGTATTGAACGCCATTTACAGACCTCATACTTCTGGCAAAAAATACCACATAATTGTCTTTGTCTTCATAGAGGCGGTTTGAAATACGATTTCAGAGAAAAAATACATCTGATGGTAATAAGATGTTACTGACCTATTTCGCAAAGTTCTCCGGAAAATCCGGGTTGACATTGGCATTTACCGTCAATACAGGATCCTTGGTTCTGACATGGATTGCTGTTACACTTATGTACGTCTAAAAAAATGAACAACCCAAGTCCTGAAACGCCATAACATTTCTGCTCCTCTTTTAGCCGTTAATTATGCGATGAAAGCTATCGAATAAAGAGGAATTTAAAAGTAGACTTGTGATTTACCAGTGGAAAGTGATGAAATTTCACCTGGCCAAAGAAAATCCCTGTAATGAATTTGCCATTAACCTTGTTTGAAAATTTGACAAATCTTGATGCTTATATGACATTTCCATTTCCCCATTCCCGTACCCACTCCCTTCTCGTCCACGACCTCAACCGATTATTTTTCCCTTCGGCTCCATCAGAGTTTCAATTGCGGTGACTGTACTCATCTAAAGAACAAAATTAGTTTAATCTGATCAAACAAATTTAACTGCTTCCTCAAAAGAAAAACAGGAGTAATAATTTCCTACCTTGCTCACAATCGTGGCCAGTGAATCCGGGAGAGCATAAGCAGCGATATCGTTGACTGGTAAAACCTGATTGACAGGTTGCATTGTTCTCGCAAGGTGAATCTCCACAGGCATTCTAAAGAGAGTAGATCAAAGTACTAATCATCAGCAAAATTGTTTTGTCACTTAATTTGTCTATGGGTCTGTTTTTTTCTGTGTTATCCTTAAATCGATTTTATCCTTAATGTGAACATGTTTCTCGTTAATTCTTCGTAAAATGTTCTTACATTTGTTCCATGATAAACATAGTTTGCTGCCTTGATCAGGTCCTTCTCATGTTCTTGACTGGTTGAGTTATTCAGTTCACAGTTTTCTGTGTTAGGTTCTTTTGGTTGAACATTAAAGTTGATACTGACACAGTTGTGTTCCAGGTAACAACGAAACTCGCACGTGTCCCTGTCAATGACACTGATGGTTGCTATGATGTGGTTAACAAGACGTTCCCCCTCGAAGAATAACGAGGATGGAAAGGCTAATATACGACAGTTACCTGAAATAATTTTGAATGTTAGGAGGATAATAAACGAAATAATTAAAATACAGCAAGGTCATCAACGTCACCACTTTGCCATCGCCTTGACACCATCGCCTTGATACACATGCATGTATTTCAAAACACAGACTGAACGTATTAAGTTAATGATTGATGAAGGATAAGGGGCCTTACTCTGATATGGCTTGAATCTATCGTATCAGCCGAGATGAGTGTTAAAAAGAAATAAAACAAACAAAATTAAACGAGAAATTCTAAAACGTTGAGTCACGTAACAATTTTCCACGGATTTTTTTGCATAACTTAATTGGTATGTTTGGTAAAGCTAGCTGAGAGTGGGAGTTGGAGCCATCTGCTCCGCGGCGTTGTGATGTCATAAGAAAAAATAAAGAAATCGGAAATATGTCACAACAGGAATATTGAAATGCTTATTGAAAAAATGCCTGCGACACCATTCAATTTGTAAGGTTTCTGAGAAGAGTTTTGAGTATCAATATCGTTGAATGTCAGCGATATTCAAATCATGTCGTGTATAAAATACGCGTAATATTGTTATGCATCGTGTGCAGGATAAATGAAAAGAAAACATAACAATCTACATCCACTAAATACCATAAAGTGCTTCCTTCCCGAAACTGAGCAATTTTTGTTTTGACTGGTTGGTGGTGAAGCGATGCGGAAAGGAAGTTCAGTTTGTAAAACGAGTAAAAGTTATGTGAGTACATAATCATAAATTACGCGGAAACACTTCTTCTAGGAACTTACCATCTAAACAGGCCAAAGCACTCTTTGAATGAAGAATCAGCAAGAAAAGGCTAAATTGGACTAAGAAAGTCATAACGACGAGAAGAAGTTTACTTGTTCAGCTGCAATGGACTAACGAAACCATAACGACGTGAGGAACTTCACTTGTTCATCAGCAATAATAACCTGCCTCTAACATAGTTAATAATGATATACACAGAAAAAACGTGCAACACGAATGAAAATTACGCTCGCGCGCGCTGACAAAATTTCGTCTGTCTTTAATTTCTGGGATGCTTGTCAATGTAAATTATTAACAAGTAACATGATCTCTCGCGCAATTTGGCGTAAACAAGAAACTATTCTCTTTTCGTAAATAAGCACTAGTAAATTTTTCAAGGACCAAAAATTGCACTAGCCCTACGGGCTTTCGCAATTTTGTTGTCTTTGAAAAATTTACTCGTGTTTGTTAACATCCAATTGCAGTCGCAATCATGTCATCACCCACACTAATTGTGATGTCATACGTCATACAATCAACTGAATATTATTCAAAACAAATTTTGTCAAATAACAGAAATTGAATTTCCTTGATAAGCACGTTATTATATTTGCGTTTTTTAACAGAATTGTCTCCCTACTTCAAACTTTTTTTCAGAAGTCAATTTTTTAACGTCCATTTTACTTAAATAGCTAGTGACGTTTTCTTGTTTCGATCGATATTCCTCTCGGTAATATCAGTATTCAGCTAATGTTTCAGCCATAAATTTCCTGTCGCGTAGTAACAGCAGCTGACAATACTTCTTTAATATTTAAAAAAGGAAGTTCAAAAATGGTTACAGGATGAATGATATAGTTTATTGCAGCAGGAGGTTTCGAACGAAAAATTAATTAAACGAATTGCAACATCATTTTCATCAACTAAGTAGATTGTTAAGTGATGTGAAAAATAAAATCTTTGGTGGTCACTGTGGCCAGTTAACAGAAAGGAGAACAAGTAGATACATGTAGTGAAACTTAACTGCCAAAGCATGAGTGACAATCATAATTGGTTTAAGTCTTCATCAGGGCGAATAGAGGAATTTTGGCTTGTATTTGGTTTAAATACAGAAAAAATGTGACCAGGCTGTTGATGGAAACGAAGTAATGTTAAAAACAAAAGAATGAACCAGTTGAATGTAAAGCCTTCGTTGCATTGACACAGTGGGTAGCAAGAAAGCCGATTTGAAAGATAAATTTTGTAATAAATTTGTTGAAATTAGTTACATTTCTCCTATTACGCCTGTGTCATTCATTGAATAATATCTTTCTTAACCTAACTCACCAGGCCTGCTATCCTCGCAGTATGCAGCAATTTATCACAATGGACCTCGTTACACGGCTTTGTTTGACACAAGTCTTCTAAAGCTCAGTGGTGAGAGTCTGCAGTACTAATTGGAAGGTTGTAGGTTCCTACCTATTGCTAGCACACGGAGTTTCTTTTTTTTTTCCTTTTTTTTTTTTTAAATATGCCTTTGTAATTTACTTAATAACATCTTCCTTCACGTAAGATTAAATCGATCTTCTTCCTTTAAATTATCACGGACGTAAGCACCACATAATAACATTCCTACCACGCAGTATATATGCAGGAAGCTTGTCTCCAGTCACCTAATTAAACGAGTCTCCCATAGCTCAGTGGTGGAGTATTCGAAGAAGTAATCGGAAGGTCCAGCGATCAGAGAAGCACTCAGAGCTTAATTCTCGGAGTACGTTTGTGTCTCTACAAAATAACATCTTCATTCACTCCAAAAATCCCCGGTTTGAAGTTTATCATCTTCATTAAGCGGGAAGTTTGAGACCATGGACCTAATTAAACGGCTTAGCTCGCCGTGAGTCTCCTATAGCCCTCCGTGGTAGAGCAGATGACTACTGATTGGAAGGTCGTAAGTTTGGCTCTCATTGGGAGCACTGGCAATTTTTCTTTCTCCGAGCATTCTGTATCATTCATTATAATAAAGTTCGGATATAACGCGCGCTGTCATTGGTTGAAAGAGCGTGCTCTATGAGTGTATGGAGCAAAAAGCTGAGCTACAGCTGTCACGCCATCTGCCAATTGTACTATGTTTGACCTTTTCCGGGACTTCTTTTTAGCTTTTTTCCGATAATTGAAAGTGAAATTTCAGAACTGAAGCGAGCCGGCAAGTAGCAACAGAAGAATCAAACAAAGGTTTGTAAACATACCAGGCGCCGTAATTTACGTTATTAAAACGTGAGCAGATACGAAAATCCTCAAAGGAAAAACAAAATAAACATTCTGAGTTTTAAAGATTTTCACGCTCAGTTAGATTGCAAGCTTACGTACGGTAATAAAAATCAAACACAGCTAACACTCGTATAGTATATAAAGTTCAGTGATCAAAAACAAAACAGAACAAAACAGAAATGACGAAAAATGTAACCAAACTAGCATAATTGTTGAAATTCATACTAATCATGACGGTGTCTGAGCGAATATGATCATGCTGAAGTTCATCGCGGCTCGTTCATCATGGCGATCTCCGGTCATCACAGTAAAGCAAGCCTCGGAAACTACATCGGCCGCCCTTCGAGTGAAAAAATAAGAGCTTGCTCTGATATCCTTTCCGATACCCTGAGTGGCAATTCACATCAGTCACTGCTGCCGAGTTTTGCGGCGCTGTCATCACGAGCGATCTTCATGTTCCGGTGAATTCGGCTGTCGTTCATTCAAAAAACACTCGCCTTGAACAGTTTGTTTTCTACCTTGTCATGTGGAAAAAAACTCGCGTGTTTTTATGAGCCATAATTCGGCTGAAGTTAACTGAACATTTCACTTCAAGACTCTGTATTAGAGACTTAAAACTTCAGGCAAAAGTGTTAAATTCGACTTGCTGAACTATTTTAGTTAGTAAACTATCGTAGAATGTGAACTTTGATGGTTTTTGAACTTTGATGGTTTGACACTTTTGACAGCTTTAGTCTTGTACAGCCAATCAGATTATTTGAACCATTCTAACAAGGATTCTGATTGACATATTGTAGCGTGCTTTATGAGAGTTTATAATAAAGTTCGGATATAACGCGCGCTGTCATTGGTTGAAAGAGCGTGCTCTATAAGAGTATAGAGCATAGAACTGAGCTAAAGCTGTCACGCCATCTGCCAAATTGTACCATGTTCGACCTTTTCCGGGACTTCTTTTTAGCTTTTTTCCGATAATTGAAAGTAAAATTTCGGAACAAGCGAGCCGGCAAGTAGTAACAGAAGAACCAAAGAAAGGTTTGTAAACATACCAGGCGCCGTTATTTACGTTATTAAAACGTGGGCAGATATGAAAATCCTCAAAGGAAAAACAAAATAGACATTCCGAGTTTTAAAGATTTTCACGCTCAGTTAGATTGCAAGCTTACGTACGGTAATGAAAATCAAACACAGCCAACACTCGTATAGTATATAAAGTTCAGAGTTAAAAAACAAAACAGAACAAAACAGAAATGATGAAAAATATAACCAAACTGACATAATTGTTAAAATTCATACTAATCATGACGGTGTCTGAGCAAATATGATCATGCTGAAGTCCATCGCGGTTCACTTATCATGCGGCCCTTCGAGTGAAAAAATAAGAGCTCGCTCTGATATCCTTTCCAATGTGTTGAGTGGAAAGTCACTTCAGTCACTGCAGCCGAGTTTTGCGGCGCTGTCATCCCGAGCGATCTTCATGTTCCGGTGAATTCGGCTGTCGTTCATTTAAAAAACACTCGCCTTGAACAGTTTGTTTTCTACCTTGTCATGTGAAAAAACCCGCGTGTTTTTATGAGCCATAATTCGGCTGAAGTTCACTGAACATTTCACTTCAAGATTCTGAATTAAAAACTTCAGGCAAAAGCGTTAAATTCGACCTGCCGAATTATTTTAGTTTGTAAACTATCGCAGAGTGTGAACTTTGATGGTTTTTGAACTTTGATGGTTTGACACTTTTGACAGCTTTTGTCTTGTACAGCCAATCAGATTATTTGAACTATTCTAACAGGGATTCTGATTGGCTTATTGTAGCGTGCTCTATGAGAGTATAGAGCATGCTGACGGCACTGTTCTTCGCTTTGGAAATAAAGTTTGTTTTGAAAATTGAAAGTAATGTTTGGGAGTTTGCTTGGGTAATTTAACGGATTCTTTATTATAACTTTGCTCTGTGATTGAAGAAGTGACTACGTCTCGTGTTTCTCCCTACACTTCTTTCGTGCTCTAGCCGCTTCCTGCGTGCTTTATAACAGAACAGAGCACAGTCAAGGCTTCTCTATTTGTTAACTGAACTACATATTCCTTCGCTTCAATCACCATATTAACAAATTGGCCACAATTTTTCATAGTCTGTAACCTTCTTGATCATCATTAGAAATGAAGGGAATAATGTCAACGTGCTCGGAGTTCTTTGTTTTGTTTCTCCGACTATGCCTAAGTCACTCACGGAATAACATCTTCTTGTAAACAAACAACTGCTAAAAACTCGCTTATCTTGAATTGATTTTTAAACGAATAATTTCATCTTTGTAGATGTGAATTTTGGAAATTAGGCAATATCACTTAAGTTTGTGGAAATTCACTCAACAGGCATTGTCTCAAAAGAGGTATTCGTGAAGCTGTGAGAAAATCTAGCGAGGATTTCCCAAGCTCTACTCCAAAAACTGTTTCACGAGATTTCCTGATAACGTTCGCATCATAACAGGGATTGCCAAAAGACGCTTGCCATTTCAAACTTATATCCATTGGTTGACAAATGTGTGACTGGTTCGTGTGACTGGTTCGACTGCGAAGAGGAAAGATTTTTTTTTAGCGCTTTGAATATAGTCAGTAGGTGTCTCGGAAACCTATTTCAAGCCACCTTTATCTGTAAAATTGGGAGACGTTGAAAATAAATGTTTCTTGTTTTCTCTTTTTTTTTTTTGGTTTGTTTTTTTTTAATTGTTTTACAAACTGATCTTTGCCTTAACATCGCACAGTAGGAAAGAAAATTTAAGACCACAAATCCAGGTCAGTTTGTCAAATTATTTTTCACAGTATTTACATGGATTGAAACACGATTTCTTGTTTAAGTTAGTTAATCCTGTCGTCTATATGATTAATCCGATTGTTTTTAAAGCCAAAATGTTATTGATTTCAAGCCCAACGCCGAAACAAGATACGAACAAAGAAATCTCGCATGAAAGGAGCAGTAAAAGCATTCATGGGGTCATTGTCACGGCAATATTTTCCACTTTTTAGTAAAGCTTTGTCATCACCCTTTCATCAAAACTTACTTGGTTTGAGGGGCTTTTACCCACTAACTGCTAAGAGTGACCAAGACAGAATTTCTCCTAAAATATCAATACTATATCTGACAAGTGATGAAAATAAAGAAAAAATGCTAATTAGGGGATCATCCGTTGATCCAATACTTTATTCTCCCAATTAACATCGTATGAATCGGATGGCAGACAGTAGGGGGAATTACTAATGAGATCCTGGGAGTGAAAGGTTTAAGAAGAATAGACTGGTAACATCATAGTGCACAAAGAAGTGAAAGTTTCATCGGCGACGTCATCGATGATGTCATTGAAAAAAGCCAGCGACATCATCGACACCATCGCCTATCTCTTGTTCAGTGTTATCTGTGAGACTGTAGCAGAGCAGCACGGGCATTCACCAACGCCTTGAAGGCCTCCTCGGTTCCTGGCGCCAAACTTTTGTCTGGGTGTATTAAGATGGCCAACCTTCGATAGGCTCGGTTAATTTCCTCTCTGAAACGATGATCCAGACGAATGGAGTTAGTATTTTAGACATTATATTTTATTTTACACGTTGAACTTGATTAAGCGCTTTTCGATTGAGTGCGGTAACTAAACTTACTACAACGGCCAATGAGCAGAAAGAAAAATTCCACCTAAAGCGCGGGAAAGCTCGTGAAAACGCGGGTGACCAAGTCGTGATTGATGTTGGTTTTGCATCTGATTGGTTGAGGGAGTGGCGCGAGTTTTGTGGACCAATCACAGAGCAAAGTTAAGCAAAACCAGTGCAATCCCGGATTACTTTTAACTCTGAACATACACTAAAGGTAATTTCATTGGCAAATGATTATGGAAAAAATAAATCAGTAAGGGCCGGTCATTGATATGATTTTTAACCCAAACCACGGTTTTACGCAATCAGTGTGCCTCAGGATTTTTCTATGAGAGGGTCGATTTGATGAAAGAAATGTTTTTGCACTATTAGCTTTCGGCCCTCTTGGCGCTGTTGATAAAAATAAATTGAAAGTTCGGATAAAAAGTTCAGCTTAATCGAGGACTGTTTAGAACGCAGTTTCATTAATCAACAGCTAAAATTTGTTTAAATCATCAGACCTAAGTAGTCTGTCTAACAGTCTCAGCGCACGGTTTGGAGAATGTCAGAGACAACAGTTAAAATTAAGAAATTTAAGCTTTCAATAGAGTAATAGCACGAGCTGTTCATGAAGACGAAGAAAACAAACTGACAAGAAAAGTTTACAAGTTTACGAAAATAACCGTTGATCATTCGACCACTGCATGAACGTTGCAAGTCTGCAGATTTAATCATATTATTTTGTTGTATATTTCAGGACACATGTAGACTTCATTTTATTGCTTCTTCAGTTACAAAAATATGCGACGTCGTATGTTATTACTCATTTTTACTTGAGGTGATAATAAAACCAAGGCAGTAATTGAAGACGATTAATGTTACTCATCGTACCTGGTCGCTCCGGCTGTCAGCCCCAGTCTCTCGTAGTTATCTTTGGCTGATTTCAACCTGTGGATAGCCTCTGCCTGTTCTTTGGTGTAACCCAGAGTTGTAGAGGCATTGACCTGAACTGGTTTACCACCATTTTCAATCGTTGCCAATACTGATTGAAAGAGGGTCTGGAACAAGTGACAGATCTTGTTAGTGTTAATTATTCAACACTCATGAAAGTTCCAAGAGCTCATATAGTTACAAAAAGAGTTATTACAGAGCAAGTGAATGTAAAAATGAAAAAAGGTGACTTCAATTATTGAGTCTTCTTTTCATGAATATGCATTTGTTCATGCAATGATTAACGAAAGGGTTTCGATGAGTAAGAATCAGAGTTACGTTGACTAAATTTAGGAGATTTTGGCTGATGACTCTAGTAAAAGGTTCGACTGTCTTGTAGAGTTCAGGCACACAAGGAGTTATTCAAGTCATGTACTGTACATAGTTAATGATCGAATCAAAAATAAAAAGAAATTGTAACCGAACTCAGAAAAGGTTAGTAGAACCAAGGCATGTATTTCGCTAGCATCTTTTTAATCTACACTATTCAAAAATTTTGGGGTAGCTTACATAGCAGGTGTATTCCTGGCAGAAGTTCGAATTATTTCAACTGAATCTCTCTGTCGATGAAGTTATGACTGCCTTCCAAGGACGGCTTAGTATGAAAGAAAAAAAATAGTACGTTCCATCTAAGCCAATAAAGACAGGAACAAAAGTTTGGGAAGCGCTGGTTCTTCGAATGGTAACGTATGCACTTCACAAGTTCCCGAAGCGCCAAGATGGCGGAGTAACAGGGCACGGATTTGGCTATCGCGTTCTGCGAGAGCTTAGCCAAGTCGCCGTATTTTCCGTGACAATTCTTTTACATCTCTCAAACTTGTTTGTGATTTACTGAGAGACGAAACATATATTTGCGAAACAATTTGCTTAAATCGCCGAGGCTTCCAGAATGGTGTGTCGCCGCAAAATGCTGCTGTGTTAAACCTTACGAAAAGGCAAATCGATATTTTGTAGCCGTGGCGACCGTGTTGCATCAGCTTGGAAAGACCAAAACTAGTTTGCTTTTTGAGCACCCTGTCAAATTCAGTTGGCAGCCAGACAGTCAGCAGAAAGCAAAACAATGGAACCTTCGTTCAAGTTTCCACTGTCCCTGCCGCCATTTCATACCACCAAAACATGGGAGGTGTCGACTTGGATGATCAGCTATACCAAGGGCCGCAAGTCTCAAAAGTGGTAGCGATATTTGCTTTGGTTGCTAGTCAATGTAAGCATCGTGAATGCACACATTTTGGAAACCGAAGCAAGAAATCACCGCTCTAGGCCTCAGCTGCAGTTTCAAATACAGTTGGCGAAGACGGAATTAGTTGCTGTTCATTCAGAGAATCGGCAGAACGCTTGGTGAACCCTGTTCTTTATAAACCTCTAAGGAACGCTTCAAACCTTGTTTGAAATGAAAGCGAACGAATCTTTGCAGATTGCCTTGCATCTCTTACGGAAACATTTCTGCTTGGATTGCTTTCAAAATCACTCGGAGTCTGATTTGTAAGAATGGCACGAAATTTGAATTTTTGCAATCGAAATGTTTTGTGTTTTCACTTTGTCAATTCGCCCTTGGGAACCCAGCTTTCTGTATATATGACATGAATAAGACAATTATTGTTATTATATTTTGCAGTTTTTGACTTCTTGAATGTAAATATTGATTGTGAATAGTATATCTAATGTGGAAGAAAACGTCTTGCTTGACATGGGACTGTGACAAATGTTCACAAATCAAGTTTATTTCGTTATTGTTGTGAACAGATTTTACATTTTTCTTACTAGAATTAAAGAGCTCATTGATTTTCCTACAACTTTTGTCGCATTATGTGACTTTTTAGAGCTTAATTTTTGCCATAGAGAACTTTTTGGAAAGCCCCTCACATCAGTTAGTCTTTAGCTAATTGCCCTTAGGGAAGAGCATACATGAACCCTCTTTCTCTCCTAGTGGGGTAGGGGGTAAAAGTTACCACATTACTTAGTGTAAAACAGACAACAGACGCTTGTGTTGGGGGGCCGGGAAGAGAAATAAAATTGTTCAATTTCCCTCTGGACTCCTCCCCTCCCCCCTACCCTTGCCTCACTGGTTTATCTGCTGCAGACTTTCCTCAATCTGACGGATCCACTAAGGCTGCTTCAGCACTCAGTCAGAATACTAAGCTCTCACTAACCAGAAAAGACCCCTGTTATGCAAGCTAACTCCAGGGTTATTTCTCAATCAGAGGAGATGGAATTCATTTGCCACCTGCTCTTCCTTGAAAACTCTGAACCAGCCACTCTGATTGTGACTTACATCTACAATCATGTACTGTACATAACTTGCAAATCTGCACAAGCACTGATAACAGCAATTGCATGTAACAAATCTTTTCCTCGTCAACCAGACCTCCTGTTATTGATAATAAAAGTGTATACTAAGTAAACGTTAATGTTGCATGATATTCCATACCTGAAACATATCATTGATTCCCTCACCAGTCTGGGCAGATGTCTCAAAGTACTGAAATCCATGACTGTTGGCCCACAGTTGGCCTTCAGTTTCATCCACCACTCTCTTCTTGCTATCAATCTATAAGCACAGTATATCCTTTTTAACTCATCAGTCTCTGAGTGAATTACACCAGTATTACCTGCTTTAATCCCTTTAATCTTTAACTCCAAAGAGTGACCAAGAAAGAAATCCTCCTTACAATATCAATAACAACAATATCAAGCAGATAAGTGATGAGAGTAAAGAAAAATATCAAGTAGGGGACCATGAGTTGATCCAATATCAAATTGTGGGAACCAACATCATAAGAATTGTATGGCATGCACATCTTCAAGATTATAATAACATGTTAAAATTGAGCATTATAAGTACTAAAATATTAACTATTATTATTGTTATTATTGTTATTAATAAGAATTGCTAATGATATCTAGGAAGTGAAAGGGTTAAAGAGGGGCTGTGTACAAGTTTTTACACAACAGGCATTTGAAGAAATTGTTCAGGATGTCTCTTTAAGGAAGTTTAATGCAGACCAGATAAATCCACTCAGTAATATTATCGCAGAAAAAAAAAAGAATGTGATGTTCCATCAACAAGTTTTCTGCCTCACCTTGTTAGCACAAACAGCAAATGTAACCCCTTCAAAGTCAGCAGTATTACCAATATCTTTTTTAATTTCATCCACCCAGCTGTCCAATGCATCAAAACTGTCTCTGTTACCAACATCATAAACAAGCATGGCACCCTGTGTATCCTTGTAGAATTCATTACGAACCTAAAAAATATTCATGATGCAATGAATTAAAATGACAATCAAGCAACAATAGAAAAATTAGTTCCCATGATGAAAGTCAGTAACTTTTTTGATCAAAACATTTTAAGAGAAGGAGCAAGGTACAATAAATTCCATATTTTCCAGTCCATTTCTTTAAATAGTCCATGCACATACTAAAAGTTAACGCCTACAAAATTAAAAATAGTCTACCTCATAGAACACAGGGTGACCAGCCATGTCAAATATGTTCACTTTCACGTCCTTGTCATTTATTGACACCCTAAGTAGAAAAGAATTTGGAGCATAATAACCAGATTTAAAAAATGCCATATACAGTGTGATGTAGCAATAGAATTCTTATCAGTCAGTATACTTGGTTATGGAAACCCTTAGATCAGAATTGAGAAATTTTACATTACACTTTTCTATTATCTTTATCCCAAGAGTAGAAATGACATAGCTTTTGTTGGGTCCTATTTCGAACAACATGCAATATGACACACTCCATATGCAGTCTGCCTGTGACTCATGCAAAAAAAAAAATGAGTGCACCAATTGGCATGTAAAAAGGCTTGCACTCTAAGTGACATGCATGCTGACTGGATCATGCAAAAATCTAAAACACTCCAAAGTACCAACTTTATTATGATAGGACTGCCACTATCAAGGAATTGAGGAAATTCTTTAACCAGGGAACACTCAATTAATAAAGGCACACAAATTTGTTAGTCTAAGAAACCCAAACACAATAATAGCAACCTAATAATTTTCACCAACTAAACAGATGTACCCCTTTATCACCCTAAAAATGACAATGAGCTGGGGAAATTTACAACTGCCACCATTTAAATAACATAAATTACAATGAGGTAAACTCACTTTGTCACACCATAGTCAATCCCTATTGTTGTCATGTACTTGCTCACAAACCTCTTCTCACAGTACCTCTTGATGATACAACTCTAACAAGTGAATATTAAGAGATTGCGTTACAGATAATTATCAGGTGCACAGTTCTCATTTTCATCTACATATATGTATGCTTTTTTTCCTTTTCCCTTTATGTCTAGTTTGTGCAGCATTTTCAGCTGTAACTGTTTTCATGTCCCCAGGACAAATGGTAAAGAATTTTAGCTACATTATAATGTGCAGCGGAAGTTGCCAATTTGGAGACCTGTGTTCAGTATGGTGATTCACAGGACATAACTTTTTTGAAAATTAAGTTTTATGGTTTGAAGTAAATGTGTGACAGACATTTTTTAATTCATAACATTTTCCTCAAGTTCCAACATTTTCTTCAAAAACAATTTCCTGACTTTTTCCTTGGTTTCCCAATTATTAAGCCCTACAGATGACATGAAAAATTCCAAAAATGAACACTAGCTATAGTGATTGCTCCAAAGACAAATTGTAGAAGTATTTTTTATATTGGCATATTTTACGAGAGAGATAAGAGGAATACTACACAGAGAACCACAAAGACAAGATGAAGCATGTAATGGGGATTTTCACTGGCAGCTACAACTGCTACTGCCAACCCTGAGGGTCAAAAGAAGGTCTTGAAAATGATCAAGATTTAACCATTCAACTCTAGTGCTTAAAAATGACATAAATGTTGAGCAAAGAACTTTACTTGATCCAATGTCCTCTTACAGTACAGATATTGTAGATGGAAATCTAAGCTGTCTGAGTAAATACAATGTATCTGCAAAGTTCATCATATTTAAATTGAAGATTGCAAAGTAAAGTCTGCACTTTCTTATCTAACAATAGTAGTAATGGTGATGTGTGAAACAATTTACTCTTATTTCTAGTTGAATTCAAGGATAAATACTCTAGGAAGATCTTGTAAGCTGTAACATTTCATAGAAAATGTTTTTGCATGTCCATCGAGGTTTTACAGATATATGGACGTTCAATCGTTTGCCTCGTGAGGCCGATCAATACAACTGATTAGCCTGACTCTTACATCGAAGACAAACGATTAAACGCTCAGTTATCTGTAACATTTCAATAGCATACTCGTGTAATTTGAAATGTGAATTACCGGTATACTTCCAATCAATTCAACTGACGAACAAGTCGACTACACGTATACGTACATGTGCACGAAAACTGTTGGAAACTAGAGAAAAAACATACATACAAGAAGTTAAGCTTGATCTCCCTTATGTTTTATAAATCGTTACCCCGCGTTTGCCGCAAATGTCAAACTGGTAAAAACGTAAACGTAGAAACTACAGGTTCTAACTTGGTCGAGAACCAAGTAAGCAATCAAATTTATCGCGACTAACCTTTCCCGTTTCAGCGTTTCCCATGCTGATGATTTTTATGCGAATTGCTGTCTTGTTCCGATGAAATTTATCCATACTGATCTTAGTATAGATCAATATCAAACAACCGTTTGAAGATTATCCGTTAATTTATGTTTGTGCAAGTTTCACCGCAAACGTCGAGGAAAACTTCGCCATTGGTGCTCAACATACATACTCACTGCCGCTTCATACATTTCTAGAGATTCGCACCAGGAGATTTGATCCGAAAGGCAATTTCAGCTATGGCTTACGAAGTGACAAATTGTGGTAAACAAACTGAGAAGTTCATGGAAACCGCGCCGACGCCATTTTGGTTGCCAACTTCGTTACCAGTTCCAACGAATAGTTGAGATCGAGAAAGATTGAGACTAGGGAACTGGGTATTATTTTTTTCAGTCCAAGGACGAGGAAAACACTGGAAACACATAACTGCGTATTTAAATCTACTTTAATCTTTTGTTTCATTTTTTTGTTTCTAAATAAACCTTAATTTTTAACTTGCCCAGTCAGCCATGCTGTCGGTCGGTTCAGTTAAAGAGAAAAAGCGACAAGGCGTGAAAAAGAGCAGGACCGCCGTCTGATCGATATCCGGGCATCCACCGCGCTTAGACTCTTGCCCTCTCCTTCTGACCGAGAGCTTCGCATAGACCTCTGCCACGTGATCTGGGTCTATAGCGGTGTTTATTTTACGTTTGAATTTTGAAAGACTGAAAGGTTAATTGCTATTGGACATATATAACTTTTTTTCATGAAGCACAAAAGGTTACAGGGGCTAAGTTTCTAATGAAACTGTGGTGCTACGTCGGTGGGAGAGTGTAGCAAGTGATTTAGTGTTAACAACTGAGTTGAAAACAAAAATTGGCCACCGTAAGAGTTAAAAGGCTGACGTTTCGAGCGCTAGCCCTTCGTCAGAGCTCTGACCCCAGCTTTTAACACTTTACGATACTGAATTACCCACAAAAGGTTACACAAGGTTACACTTGCTTGCAGCCATCAAACTGATATCAAGTCTGTAGCTCCTCTCAATATTACTCAGTACAGAAATTACAAGGCTGTTAAAAGATGTAAAACTAGTTGAAATGATGGTATGGAGGTAGCCAAACGTATTTCATAATCACCTTCATTTACTCTGATCTTCATCTTTTGCGCATTACGAAAAAATACCTTCTCTTATTACTACCATTTTACAACTTAACGGTAGCACATTTGAAGTTATATCTGAGTTTTCTGATCTAGCTTGGCTCAACAACTGATCATATATAATCTTGGAACCTCACACTCTAAAGCAAAACTATGCCTAAAAAAAACTTTAGAGTTTCAGTTTTTCTAATCGTATTGTATAATACGTGGAATTCGCCGCCTTTACTTATCAGAACCGCACCTAGTTTCTTAAATTTCAAAGGCGGCGTAACTATAACAATAACAGAAATATCAATTCCACTTTCCACTGTAAAATATTTTAATCTAAATCAACAAAACTTCGTCCGAGGGAAATTCGGAGCTTTCTTTGCTCGACAAGGAAAACAGCCGTTTCGTTTTCCTACACAAAATGGCGCAACACACCAAAGAAGCTGAGCATACGGGGACGATAGAGATCAGTGCCGGGTATGGCTTGTTGGTGTCCACTTGACTTAGAAAGCCGATCGCTGTTGAATAACTTGCTACCACTCCAAGGAGACATCTGGGGGACTTGAAAAACGACATGGCAAAGTTTGCGACAATGGCACCAATAATTATGTCTCCTGTTCCAAGAAAAACGTGCGTTTGATTCTCTCCAAACCGCACTGTGAACACTGAAGGCAGCTCCCACGCACTGTTTATTTCGAATAACTGACAGAGAAGATTGCTACATTCTCCAATGCTTAGGACCTGGGGAGTTTCGTTCATACGTGCAAGTAGGCAAACGTCGTATACGAGAGCAGTCCACAAAAAAATCTGCAGAAAGGCAAAGTTTCTGAACTGGACGTGGCTGGCCAGAAAGGCAAACATGGTAATGATCACATTGTTAATGATCCAACGAAACTGGGTCTCCACCGATAATAACCAAATCACACCGAATAAAATGCCAAGTAAATAACCGATCTTCAATGGCAACCATTGGGCGAATGCGATCATAATAAAACAAACGACGGCGACATGTTGTAAAATGATCATAACAGACGGATAATACTGGAGAATGACAACAGTTAAACCCATGGCTGCGAAATACGTAAAAGTAAAAAGCAAATACTGTGGTAGCCTTAACTCCGCTCCTTTACCTTCGTGTTCAAGAGATGCGGAGTTCTCACGATTATCTTTTAGTTCGTTCTTTGGGGCGCTCGTCCATTGTCCATTTCGTCGCATCTTTTCGCCGTATATCGCGCTGAAAAAAATCAATGCGCTTACCGAAAAATCCATGATCCAGAAATTGTACAGCACCATTGTTGGAAAGGAGAAATAAGCAAAAATTAACAGTACGATCTTTTTTTTTTTTCTTTCTATTCCTTTTCTTGTCGGAGTTGACTGTAAAGAAATTTTGATTTGAAGCGATGTTTTCAAAGACGTATTACCTGCTCTGACGTCACAAAGTGAAACAGCAAGCAGCTACACGCGGTCTTTTTAATAATTCAAAGGGAGCCGGGAATTCTCTCGGGGTTATTGGCAGGTAGAACAAGCAAAGGTCGGAATATGATCTTAACACTTAGAACCTAATGAAACATAGCGCTACCATTGTGTAGCAAAACAATGAAGACAGTGACCAGAAAAATAAAGCTATCGATTTGTTGAGTGAAAAAAGGGATTTTCCATCGAATTTTACTCTTCTTTCTATTTCATTATATGACAAAATAAAATTAAAACTCTTACCTTTATCCTAGGGTAATTTGTTGATTATATAGCATTAGGGGATGAGCAATGAATTGGCCCAATCAGTCCAATAAGACAACAAACGACCATTAGTAAAATCAACATTTCTCTTCAGCGGTCAATGTGAAAATATCATTCTTTCCAAAATAGATGTGGAGAAAACGAGCTCATGATAAAATTTTCTTTAATAGAAAATTTATAAAAAATATATAAAAATGCCCCAAATTGATTGCTATCTGTTGTTATTTTGAACGTGCCCTGTGCCTTGATCAGCAGCGTTTACCAGACGAATTGGCTTGCTCGGAGAAAAAGTTTAAATGTTTTATGTTTTGCCTTTCAACATCTAAAATAAGTGATATTGACATTCTCGAGAAAGTTCGAATGTTGCCACCCTATATTTGAGAAATGGAGGACTTTTTCTGTGTTTACTTTTCTTGAAAAAGCCTCGTCTCAATTGCCCGTCTTAGTTTCTCTAGGGGCATATTTCAAAAATTTCTCAAGAAATAATAGAGATACTGCGGAAATAGATCATTAAAGGAACAGGATTTCAAGAAAAAGGCGTTTCTAAGTTTTACTTTGTTTGCTAGAAGAGGACCCCTTAGGGAAAAAGGACGGGAAAAAAAAAACCAAAAAATTCGAGAAGAGTAAGTTATGCTCAGCAGCTTTGTAAATAAAGGCCTCACTTTGAACTTTCGCAAAGCAATGAAAGAACAATGAGAGCAGCTAGCTTCGACCCTTGTTTGGCTCAGATGGTCTGTTTTTAATGTATCCTTCTAAAGTTATTTTGTACTCAAGATGATTCGTGTAATTTCCCGGGATTAATGTTACATGCTGTTTGCTTGTTTCTCTAACTTCTTTTTCTTTTTTTTAGTTCTTCTACGAACAACCCTACACTCTACGAGTGGTTTCCACGTGAGAAAATTCAGGACTGGTTATTTCTTGATTCTTCTGGGATCCCCAGTACCGGGTCTAAGAGAGAAAATTAACCTTACCCTTGGAGTGGGTCACGGGATCACCCTTAGTATATAAATTTGAAGAAAGCGAGTTAAAGGAAAGCTTTAGGTGCAATAGTATGGCAAATTAAGTTTCTAAGCTAGTTATGAAGGTTAGTTACATATTTAATGGTTCCTCAAAGTCATGTCCTCGTCTTTTCCGCTTGTTGCAGTTGATCACCAATACAACAAACAAAATCACAGCTACAGCACCAAATACTCCAGTTAGAGTGGCCAGGACAAGCAGCAGTGTATCTGGAATTCAAAGATCAAATAGGTTAATTTTCGCAGGAGCCTCATGAATCTCTCGAAACCTCTCCTGCTATGCGCCATATCCAAAAGCGACTTAGGGCATCGCCACTCCTGGTGGACGGAGCGTTCTTCCAATGCTGGTAACCCCAAGCCAGAAAATTTTCCTCATCAATTCGTCGGTAACAATGTACACTCCTGGGTGGAGGGAAATGCTCTGAAGGTTTTGTGTATTGATAACGAACACATCCCGATGACCACCTCGGGTTGAGTCCGGATCTCTCAATCCTGAGCTAGTATGCCAGTTATGCTCACCGCCACATGGTATCTATCCAACCTTGTGCCCAGGGTCTCTCTTCGTCTTGCCTTCAGGGCGCGGAAAGAATTCCAGTTGTAAAAAATCAATTCACATCAACCGAACTTGCGTGAGATTAGGACTAAAACGGCTTATCTATCTTGACATTTTTTTGTCGAGTTGGTGTGACTTCTTATCAACTGGATTCATGTTTCAATATCTATAAACTCTACCTTTTTGGGGACTTTGTTGAACTGAGATACATATGATATCTTTCTCTTCCATCTTTTCAAAATGAACAACCTCTTAAAATACTTAAAATATTGTTTTTCACACACCTTTCCCATCCTCATGTTTTTCTGATATTGTCGGAATGTGAGTAGCTGTGGATGGCCTAGCAATTTCTTGAAGACTTGGTAGAAGCTCATTCCATAGCGCCATTTTCTCTGGACGCATTTTGAACCGAAGTGTCAAAGTGGAACCTAGTCCCATATATTCTTCTTGGTCTGTTGTAAACTGGGGCCAAGCTTCTGCTAGTGGCGTTGGCTTATTAGGGTTCCTGGTGTGTTAAGCAGTATCATTCGTGAGAAAGAAAATTGTTTAGACGAAGGGAATTTAGTCGGAATAAAACACCACTTCACGAAAAAAAACAGCAAACAGGGATAGGAGTATTAGTTTTTCAGTTCCCTGATTGTGACAGAATATTACAAACTTATGTTTTCCAAAACTGAGAGCCTTTGAAATATTCTGAGATTGGTTTGGTCAGCCACATATGAGATAAGCGCAAGCTAACAAGCGGAAAAAAAGAAAAACACAAAATAAGAAAGAAAAAAGCCAGAAGCCTTTCCTTGGAGATTAGTTACTTGGAGACCGATCGAAAGCTTTTTTTTTTCCTGTATGGTTGCTGTTGGACTAAAACCATAAAAACAAAATTCTCTTTGCATCACTGGTCGGAGGCAACGCAAATAATGTATTGCGGTGAGTTGTATCATTAACTATTCTGGATACCAATCTTGCGTGGTCTATGGTTTCTAAAAATAAAATTTTCAACATCTGGTAGTAAGTCATCCCTAAAATGAGGCTTTTCAATCTCTATAATACCCAGTGACTTGTTCTGACTTACCCTGTTTTAGCAAAATTAGTCCAAAAGGTCATGATATCTTTACTCAGTTGTATGTCGTCAGGAGACGTAAGATTCTCGGTCATAACAAGAGGCTCTCCAAATGTGTATAAGACATCGGCGCGATGATACACTCCAAGCCACGCAGGAAGCGGGAACGGGATCGCGGGAAATGTTTTTGGTACTTTTTCAAGTTGATAAAAGTAGGTGGGTGCCTGTTTCTTTGAGAATGCCTTGACTGCTTTTAATAGCGGAGCTTTAAATGTTGCGTCTGAGTTAATGTCAATGAACTGCTGTCTTATCACATAAGGATCAGAAGCATTCGACCAGTCAGTGTACTGGTAGATTAGCAAATCCAAGATTTGAGAGTTTTGATTACGAACCCAAGTCCAGTTGCGTATCGTTTCTTCAAATTGAGCTCTTGACATTCCGTTCGTAACTTCAAGACCTTTCAGAACACCTTTAAATTAATAAAACATGTTAAGAGAAAAAACTGCACCTAAGCCATACTTATGTGCTCGGTTTTTTTTGTCTAATTTCTTTGTATGTAAGATTTTTTTTAAAGCGATAAGTGTGCTTAGTATTGACTAATAAAGGTCGCATGTGGCCTACGATAGTCAAAGTACAAGTAGGTAAACAGTTATAAGACAGAGCACAGTGGCTAAACTACTTCTTATTGGCAGGCTAGCTCAATATCTGAACTCTTACCTTCACACTCTTTCTAATGTAGAAAAAATGGTGAAAATCAAAATAAATACCATAAAATAAATAAATGAAGTCATAAATAATGAATAAATAAATTAAGAAGCTAGAATATTTTCCCACATAAACATCCTAGTCCAGCTGGATACCGGAAAACGGAAGTCTGACTGCTTTGATCATCTTGTTAGGCGGGTTGATGTTTCAGATATGAATACCCGGGATGAACTCTCCAGTTAGAACCGGAGGCAAAATTCACTTCGATAAAGGGCCAGCCTGATTACTGAGCTTTCATGAACAGGTTCTTACTAATAAACATGCCTTTTTCAACCTTCTTCATTACTGGTTCAGCCAGGAAGAAGGTGATTCTAAAAACTAAATGCTATATCAAAATATGGTATGAAAGTTTAAGGAGATCCGAATACCCACCAGGCGCACCAGTGACAAAAATTGAGCCGTCATCTTGGGCCACTCCAGCAATGATATTAGTCTTGTTGAACTTGCCGGCTTGAAGCAATTTGGCTGGTAAATCTGTACATGAGTGATAACATAACTTATTACGTCTTATAAATATCGCCTGTGACATGAATTGTATAGACTTTTTAGATGTTGTTTTGTTTGTGGGAACACTCAAAGTTGAGTTTAACACCAGCATCAAATACCTGGTAAGAAAAATCCATCCACCACCGGTCCGAAGGGTAACAAAATTGGGGTTGAAAAGACTTTTATTTGGGCATCCATCAATTGCTGAACACTTTTCGTCTTCGCACACAATTTTAGGGAATCCACATCACAGCCAACGGCATTAGCGAAGCTCCTAGAAGAAAAGTGGAATATATGGGCATTGTTCATGAATTTGGCATTCTGCTGGGGTGTGGGCGTGAGTTTTCAACCATAAGGGAAGGAATGGGGTTACAATCCAGCATCTCATGGGAAATTAAGAGTGCAGGGGGGGAAAGAGGACGGAGGGAGGGGGGTGTGAGGCAGTTGAGTATTTCCTAATAAAGAACTAAACTCATAACCGCCTTAGGGTGGTGACCAACGTGTCATTTTATTACAATAAAATAATAACCTCCATTAGGGTTGTCGTGAGGTCAGTCACTGGTGCCGAAAACTTTCGTTTAGTGGTTATTACCGTTTCAAGTGTTTTTATTGGCTCAAACCTTTAACTGTGACAGTTCTAGTACCTTGCTCTTCGGTAAGCCTCGTTTTTGGTCATCGCCGATGAAAGAGATGCGGGATTTCCACTCTGCATGATGATGTTCTGATACAGACCATGAGCCATTGGCGATAACATTAATAACGACACACATGTTCCTCCAGCTGAACCACCAAATAATGTAACTTTGTTTGGATCTCCTCCAAACCTGATTGATCAAACATATTCATGCTCAGATTTTAGTCTGATTAGTTTATTGAGGTATGATTCACCACCTCATATGTTCGTGGACGAACGTTCACAGAAGCTGACTTTTTGCTTTCCTGTAGTCAGTTTGAATCGCACAGTTTTAACAATAATACCCCCCCCCCTCCTTCTCCCGCAAAGTAGTGAACCTTAGAGGTGGTGGTTACCTATTACAACCTCCTTGCTCAGCCCCTACCTGCAAGTAACAAATCCTTTCTCCCTTACCAGGTACTCTACGGTTTTAGGAAGTACTTTGTTGTTTTGAATGTGATATAGCTATAGCGCGTAAACATTTTATATTCTGTTGGTTCTTGTTAGTAATCATATCAAAATAATTTTTTTTCATTTAAGTCTTAGAAGCCGTTCAATCCGTTCTTCTAAGGCGCAGTTACTTTTATGTCCGAACTACGAAGAGCCGTAAATGCCGAAAGTATACATCTCCGATGGACACCTGGAGACAATTAAAGACTGCCCTCAAGCCGCAATCATAACACTCGTCACATGGTAGGTCACGAAAGTACTTAATCCGCTTCAGTTACTCTTCAAATTAAGAAATATGATTAATTTGTTTGATTCCCAAAATGTCGTAACTTGGAAATTATCCCTGCATAGCATCAGAATTACGATTATTAAAGTTTCGCTGTGATTTAAGTCCAAAGTCCCCACGCCTTGCCAACAATCCATAGTTTTTTGATCACAGGGATAAATAGGGTTTTGGCGCACCAAACGGTAAACAATTTGCATAATACTATACATACCGATATGAGGAAAAAAATAAATAACAAATATCACATTCCTACCTTGCAATATTTTGGTTAACCCACTTTAAGGCCTCTAGCTGGTCCATTAGACCGTAGTTGCCTTTTAGATTGTCGTCGTTTGCACTCAAAAATCCCAAAACACCCAAACGATAGCCGACCGTGACAACGATCACGTTACCTTCAGTTGCCAAAACGCTGCCGTCGTAAGCGAGTGTATCACCCAAAGAGAAGGCACCTCCGTGGATCCAAAACATCACAGGGAGAGAAGAATGTTGTGATACGTTAGCAGGGACATATACATTGAGTAAAAGACAATTCTCATCGACAAGACGTTGTTTATGCAGCGGAAGATTTAGTTGTGGACAAATCTTGTCGATCTTGTTCGCTTGAAGGAGAGTGTTCCATCTCTCCAGTGGCACTGGATATTCAAAACGTTCTGCCCTGGCATATGGAATGCCTAAGTACTTTGTAACAGTTTTGTTCGTTTGCAGCGATACCACAGATCCGTTAATGGGACCAAATGTCGTGTTAACGATCGCAGAAGTCACAACTGACACCCAGCAATGGAAGAGTGACAGTGTGTACAGCCTAACCATACGTGTCCGTTTCATTATCTTTTGAAATTGCCAGCAACAGGTTCAGTGCTTAGGTAAATCGTTTGTTTTACCTGTTGCGATCATACGACCTCTAAAATTAACCGGTGAGACCAGAGAGATGGTGAACTTCCATACACCGCGGTAATGAAAATAACACTGGAAGGATTGTTAGAATGCCGCTAAGCCGTCGCGCGTCCACCCATCCATGACGCGGACAGTGCTAAGGAAAACATTACCATTTTGATAGATGTTATCGACCATCAACATCGAAAGTTCAGTGGAATACGCTCAGTAGACATATAAATCGACCAGAATTTTCAAAAGAAGAGTAATTAATTCCTTGTAGTTTCTTTTCCCTTGAAAGGCCTGACAAACCAAGCAGATACATGAATAAAGATAACATTGATCACGTGGGTGAGAATATTTGGCTTGCCGGATTAAATGACTTTGAGTCAGTGGTTAAATATTGGACTCGTTTTGTTTTCTCTTTTTTCAGTGTTTGCTAGGGTGGGGACAGAGGGGAAGGCATTTTTCAGTCAACTTCTGAAAGTTGTTCGTGCATAAATCAGGCGACAGAAGATACATCTCAACAGCTTTAGTTTGAGCAAGAGGAATGGTCTTTAGTTTTCATTTAATTCGAGACTTTTGCTGTCTATTGAAGAAAAGTAATATAAGAGCAGTATTTACAATATTCATGATAATTATTTTTCACTGCTGCTCATGCTCAAGACCAATCAATAGGAACAAAGAACACGAAAGCTAGCAGTGGCAAGACTCAAGAGAATGCCAAGTGCAAAATTTTTCCCTGGGCAAATGAAAAAATTACTATAAATTGGCTTAGTTGGAGTTTTATCTCTTTATTGATGTGGGAGGTTCCTCCCATATTAGCTTATATGAGGCGAATTCTGTAACTATCCATGGAACACTTCACAAGGTTGAAACATGAAAGTAACACCATCGTGATTTTCCAGCTAGAATAACACCAAATTTATTATTAAACAACTGGTATTGTATAATGTATAAATTGATGCTGCTGTAATTATCCACTTGCGGTCATACTGTGGAAACTGACTACAAGTTTTTTATTGACGCAGAATTATTTGTTATTTTGATTAAGCCATTTACTCCCAGATCTTGAAAAACACTCAAGTTTACACGTCAAATCTTTCTGAGGTTAGATTTTCATTACTTTGTCGGTAGTCGGTTTTTTTTTTCTTTTTTTTTTTGACCCTGATCAGAGGTCAATAAATCTCAGTTAGTTATTAAAAGTGCAAATAATTGTTCATACCGTATTTCTTCGATTAAACGCCGCCCTCGAATAAACGCCGCATCCTAATGCGTTTGTACGAATCAGACTCAAAAATCACACAGTGATCATTGCGTCGATCGCAGTTTGAGTGAACCAGACTCAAATCCTTTTTTACCAGTTATGATGTCGAGAAGGCATATCCGACATTAGAACTTTAATCACTTTGTGTACTGCAGTACTGATCAACATGCAAATTGTGAAATTGAGAACAATATGAAAAATGACTTTTAGACAAGCAACATGTTTCTGTTTCTTTTTTCTTTTAATTACAATGCTCAGTTACCAAAGTATTGTTTGCAAATAATAAATTGGATTTTGAATAAACGCTGCACTCGAATCACGAAAAATTCAGTAAACGTGGCGGCGTTTAATCGAATCATCACGGTGTTCGTTAGCAAGAGATAATATACCAGTTTATGATCTCTAACCGCTAAGTAACTGGACACTGTTCTGAAAATGAGCCCGCGCTGTTACAAAGCCACAAAGTAGGCTTAAGAGTGAATATTAATCTCTATTAATATGAATCTAGACATCAATAACTGAGAGGCCTAGACTGGGTACAGGCAGGGTGCAAATAAGTATTTTCCTTTTTCCGTAAGATTGAGCAATTTGTTCAGCATATAAGTCATGAGACTTGGGTAGAGCCAATGACTATTCACCACGCTAACGCGTTTTAATCGCAAAATTACTTTAGTATTACCGCTTAAGTATCTGTGCATGCATGAGGGGACGCAAATCGTCTGTACTGTAAGTATACCGGAGAGTCGTTAGTCTAAGAAAATGTATGGGGACTGTAAGGTGTCATAATCCTGTTGCTGCTGACATCGATGTGACAGATAATTGCTTTTGCACTGTTTTCTTTGCCGGCTTATACTTGTCATCAAGTTTCAATAAGACGGCTATCATTTTTCACAAGAATAATGAAGTTTTCGTAAATTGTGAGATCGGATGGGATTAAAATGGGATTAAATCACCTACAGAGCTTGATATGTACTTACAGTGCAGACGATTTGCGTCCCCTCATGGTTATAAGTAATCTAGCAAGCAAGCAAGTAACAAGTTTATTTCTAGCTTTAAGAAAGTTTTAGTTTCCCTCCCACCCACATCATCGACAGTTTTGATTGTATCTTAAACTCATTCGTGTTTGTAATTTATTCTTGATTACTGGACCGTTTGTTCAGTGTATTCGTCCAATATCTTTGTTATGTAAAGTCTAGTGTGTTATTTAAGTAGGATATGAACTATTTCATAAGTGAGGGAGAGTGTTTCATCAGGGTCTCCAGACACGAGAAAACTGTTTGGAAATCCTGATGAAACACGAAGCTTGAGTTTATGAAATGACTTCTTAAAAGGGCCTAATTTGTTAACAATAAACACAAAAACAGGAAGACCACGTAAATAGTCAGTTTTTGTTTTCTTATGTTTCATTATCGCGTGTGTATAGTTGTTAGTCAGTGTCATGAAAGATGTGTTTTTCCACAACTTCGGCTTTTCAATTAAAAGCAGTCACACTTTGCATTGGCGTCCTCCTTTGCAATTTTGAGAATAGAAGAAGCAGCTACGGAAAGGTCTTCCCGATTTCGACCGCCGAAAAGTTGCAAAGAGGAAGTTTCTCCGCTTGAATGTTCAAAGCCTAAAAGTACTCAGTACAAAGATAGGTGGGCTGTTGATGGCAAGCTGCGCGCGAGAAAAAATTTCCTTTACTTGAGCCGGGGAGTGTGTTCAAAGATTATGATGTTCAACGCGTGCAAAGTCTTGAAGAAAGATCGGAAGACCTGGACAGCCTTGCCCTGAACTTCTGGCTTACAAAGTTGGTTCGCTATCCACCTCGTTCGTTGTATGGAATTGTTTGTGGGATGAATCGACATTGGGCCAGAAATTTTGTTAAATGTATTTCTCAAACTCATAATAATGCATGAGGTGATTAACCAATCATGAAACGAAATGAAAATTGACAGTTAATAAACATTTGTTCAAGTACTGCATTCTTTTGGAAATTGATTTCCAAACACACGTGTTTGGATATCCCAACACGTGTGTTTGGATATCTAATCACGCGTGTTTGGATCTGTTCTTTACCGGGTATCAAGGGGCATCCAGGTGACCCAAACGAGGCCACACAATCACCTCATGCGTTATTATGAGTTTGAGAAATACATTTAACAAAATTTCTGGCCCAAAACAAGCCTGTCTGTTGTGGTGTTTAGACAAGAAATTCAATCTCATTAACTGAATCTTAACTCTAGAGTGGCTGCCTCCTAAGCTAGAATGCTCTTCTTTCTGAAAACAAATATCGGTAATGTTGGACCGTATCGGTTATCGGCTAGTATTTACTTGTCGCTAACTGATGATCTGTTTTGTTTTCTGTCGCTGGTCAGCCATATTTTTCGCTCTTTGTCGCTGGTAGATTAACCCCATTCAGACCCTTTTTACCTGCTGGTACTAAGGTTAGACAAGAATATTATATTTAGATGTTGAGCTATGCTATTGTTATAACATTGCACTGTTGAGGTTTTGCTCGCAATTGTAGTGATGAAAAATGAAATGTATCTAAGAATGACATAATCTGAGGGTGAGAGAGTTTGCTTGGCGCATTTTAATTATGTTTGTGTTCATTTTGTATATATCACTGTTGTATAAATCACTACAAGAGGAGCGCCGCGTTTTACATTTTTTGGGACGTAAAGGCACAACTGAAAACAATCCTCGTTCGTTCAGGAGAGGAGCTTTCATAGGCGACAGGCAAGCGATCTTGATAGGTCCATAATTCCTTCACAAGCGCGTACGGCAGAAATCGTGATATCAGAACCCGCAATAAAAGAACCAACGGGTTTCATGTAAAATAAAATCGGCTCACAAGTCTATACAGTCACACTATTAACAAACCCGAAAAAAATATTCATCGAATCCTCACAGAAAACCTCACGCCAAGAAATACAAGGGTTTCTTTCATTGGACGAATACCACTAAGATCGCTCGCTCAGAAATGTTTCCAAAGTGTCGACAACTCAAATAACTGAAGTATTGGAATCGCTTGATATTTCTAAACAAACAACCGATTCTCTCAAAAGAAGTTTGAAATAACCTTTCTATTGTAATTCTGTGAAAATTCATCTCCTCGCTGTCAATTTTGGACAACTTAGCCGTCATCGTGTTATGCAAAGCATAGCCATACCAGCGGAACAAATAAACTTCCTGAGAAAAAAAAAGGCTATATCACCTATTCGGGTAATTTGCATTTCTTACGCTGATATTTAAGCCGTAAACTTCTTAATAGGATGATGGTGTTTTGGACACCTGCTCGAGAAGAAATTCTTCAAATTCTTCTTGACGGCTACCTTTTGCTAACTTTCTTTTGACTTTTCACGCCATAAGAAATTCCCACGCGCATTACCCCCTGCAAACCTCTCTTCACTTCGTGTTACTCAAGGCCTAAATCTTATTCGTGGACAAAGAGCCTCTCGTATTGAAGGGCTCGTAACGAGGGTCTGCTCGCACGCTAGACTAAGTTTGGAGCTGGGGCTGAACGTCGTTATATTTTTAGAAGCACACATTTACAAGCATATGGTATATTGTTGTTTTATTAAATCAGTGCAGACACGACCAGGAAACGTATCAAAGTTACAATCCACCATTCCGCCATTCCTCCGTTTCACCGTTCCACCGTTCCACCGTTCCACCGTTCCACCGTTCTACCATTCCACCATTCTACCGTTCTACCATTCTTGCTTTTAGGGTTGCCCACCTGCGCTGACTTATGTTCCCGCCCTCAAGAGATCAGTGGCATGGAGACACGCGCGGATCAAGCCTCAGGTGTGCCAGAACCTTCAGCAAGAGTTTAGATAGCTTGTCTAGCGATCTTCTTCTCCCTTTTCTCATCTTTGGAAGTAAGATTTGGCGCTCGATTTGCCGTAAATAAATAACCTGTTACCACGCGATGAAAAATAAATACAAGAAGCCAGCCGACTGTGACGAAATCCAGTTTGACAGGCGACACACTTTATCGCTGAACTGTGGACGTCTTGTATTCTGCAGCATACACCTTTATTGATATCTGACGGGCTATACCAGCAACTAAAC